ACCCTCTTCATCATTCAAAGAAGCGTGCCTTGCACTTTCCTAATATTTCACAATCCAGGAGAGGGCAGATCTGTTAGCAAAGTCACCTTTCACTGGGACAAAATAAAATCGAATGAGAGCAAGCAAGACTTGAAGTTCCCGAAGCAAAGTGAGAGAGAGAGAGAGAGAGAGAGAGAGAGAGAATGTGTGTGAGAGAGAGACAGAGGTTTCTGCGCATGACAAAAAGTCCACAGTCTTCACTTGACAAGAGCCAGAGATGCTGCATTGGCAGGGCTTGGTAACGGCCCCATCCTCTGACTGAGAAACCCTGAAAACTACCTTAGATATGCCGGTTCCTTGGTCCATCTTCATAACCACCCAAAACGAGCCCTATTGTACACCTGCGAGCTTGGGAGATGCTGGGAATCAGTGACCGGGCCAAAGTCACCCAGTGAACTTCACGGGGCACTGGGACTGGAACCCCAAGCGCGAGTCCCAGTTCAGCTTGCTGACGAGCGCACCACACTGGCTGACCACGTGCCCATGAGCCTGCCTTCCTGGGTGGCGGTGGAGACGTGGCTTGGTGTTACGGCCCTCTGAACACGGGGAGCCAGAAGCCCTTCTCCATCAGCAGCGAAGCTCCCAGTGGCCCCCACTGGACTCCTGCCCACCGGTCTCTGAGCACAACTGCTTGACAGAAGGCGCCTCGGCACTCGCAGGACGCACCAATCCTGGCTTTCAGGAGCCCAAAAAGCTTCAAGCAGTGGGGGGGGGGGGCATGATGGAAGCACCAGGCTAGGTTATCTCAGAGCTCTCGTGAAGCTACAAGAGGAACATTTCCATCGTTTGGAATGGGGGAAATTGTGCCAGAGCTGGGAAGCCACTTGACGACTGGTGCATGTGGGAAAGTGGCGGGCCCAGGGGAAGGGGTGCGCCCACTGGGGGTCCTGGGGGTCTAGGCTCAGCTCCCAGGTCCAAGTTCTACACCTCCACCTAGAGACACAGACTTAAGGACAACACGGGGGCAAGGCTACGTGACACGCTCCGCAGTCACCCGCATTCTGGAGCACCGTCGCCTTCCTGTGCCTCACGGCTGGTGGGGAGTCCGGCGTTATTTTGTTCTGGCGCAGGAAGCTGCTCGGCCTTGTGGTGCAGGAGGGGGTGTGTCTGTGCACGATTGACTGATTTTAAAATGGCGCCCTTTCCCTGGAGGAGCGCCTGCTTTTGCAGCCACCTTGGCTCACCCCACCAGCCAGACTGCTGTCAGCATGCCTGCCCCCCAGACTGAAAATCAGCCTCTGGTACAACACAGGGATCCACAGACCAGAGACTATTTCGGAGCAACCGTGCCTTTCCGAACGATTTGCTGCTGTCACCTGGTGGGGAGACGAGCAGCTGCTGTTTGACTTCTGGCCCTGTTGTGGCCTCAGCCCGACACAGAACGTGGCTCGTCTTTTGAGTCCAACTGGACCTTTCAGACAAGTGCTGAGAAACCGGTATGAGGCACACTTCTCGTGGTTCTCCAAGACATAGGAACACGGAAACAGAGCGAGCCAGAAGGGGCCTCCTGGGCCACCCTGGCTCCAGCTGGCTCTGCTCACGACATGCCCGCCATGTGCATGCCCAGCCTATCTTTGAATGCCATCACACAGGGCTCATCTCAATGAGTTACTTTTTGGAGGACATGAGGGGTGTTCAGGGTGCTAAGAATAAAATGGAAGGGAAAATATAGTCAAGAGACGCTTGGGTTACAGGCTTTCCTGAGGGCAGAGATGTCTTTCACCCCGGATCCCGGTTACTGTGAGAAGAAGCACAACCATGGACAAAGTCTTGGCCGAACTACTAAATCCAGACTATTCGAAGCAGACCCATGGAAAATCAGTAATAAAAAGGTCAGTTGTGCCTAGCTTATATCCCATACACTCCATTAGTCCCATTCTCTTGTCTGCACCAGCATCTAAACCAACGGGGCACTTCCAAGGTGGCAGACGCTGCCTCCTTCCAGAGGTCCTCAGATAAAGATAGGGCATAATGAACCACCCACCCTGACCTGTCCTTGACAAGCAGACACCCACAGTCCAGTTATGAAGAAAGGGACGGACATCAAGGTAGGAACCCGGCAGAGGGCAGGATGCGTTTTGGGGGCAACACAGAGAAAAGCGAAGTGCTGCTTCTTAAATATATGGTCTACTTGCGATGCTTCTTTGAACTGAGAATATGCTCAGCAACACAGAAAGAAAGCAAGTTTGCTCATCGGTTTCATTCCCATAACTTACCTGTCAGGACCTGGGCTGCTCTGGGGCTCCATCTGGTGGCCAGAGCCAGAATGCCAACCTCAGTACTGGCAGGACCGGTCCCAGGCCCTGCTGGAGCTGGCCTCCTGATGAGCGCTAGCTGGGAGCCCTGGGGGAAGAGCCAGAGGTGGGCAAGCTCTCCCTTCCTGGGGCTGTCTTGGCAACTCGGGTTTTCCTTTTTGCTGCAGCACCTGCAGACCCAGATCTTGCCTTGCTGTCTCATCTTGGCGAGGAGCCCTTACCAGTAACCCGCGGCGCGGTTCAGCCCCTGCACCTCTCCTGGACCTCGCTGCATCTGGTCCCTGCCGTGTCGCCTCAGAAACGCAGGGCTGTGTGTGCACTGCAACCTGGTGCAGCTCCTGTGCTTGCCTGCTCCAATTTCTGTCCCGCCTGCTGTGCTGTCTTGGCAAGGCCCATCTTCCGGCTGTGACCCTTGCGTATCACCTCAGCGACGTGGGTCTTCTTGCTAGCTGCTGTACGGTCGCGCCTGGCTTCATCTAGCTCCTGCCCTGCCCTGCCCTGCCCTGCCGCAAAGCCTCAGCAATTCGGGTCTTGCCAGCTGTGGTTCTTCACCTTGCCTCACCCTTGCTGCACCCTGCCTTGTCTGGCTGTCCTGGCTTTGCAGGTCTTCCCGAGCACTGCAACGAGTTCCAGCCCAGGGTCCCACCTGGCCCTTGTAGGCTCTGGTTCCCGCCATGCCTTCCTGCCCCAACCCGCCTTGCCTGGCTTGCCACACCTTTTCTGCTCCAGATCCCATCCAGTTATCACACGCCTCAGGTAGATGCTCCCGGCTCCTGCCATCTTCTTGGTTTTCCACCCTTGGCTTGTTTGCAGCCCCGTCCTGGTCTTGTCTCGGTAATACTCCGGGTTCCTGGCTTCAGCCTGTTCTGTGACCACGACGTGGGCCCTGTTCTTGCGCCTTGCACTGCCTTTGGATCCTGCCTTGCTTCCGTGTCCGCTGCCCTGGTCCCCGGCGCTTGCTGGCCACATCCCAGCGCATGACACAACCCTGCCAACACGAGGATTCTTTTGCACATCTCCCAAAGCCACTTTCTGCAGTTCCACTGGCTATTCCTTGTCTCTGTGAGGTTGGTTTTCTCTTCCGAAATCCTTTGCCCTTTCCCATTGCCGCCTGAGCCCTGGCAGTCCTGTCCACTGACCACAAGGAACCTTTGCTTTCAGACTGCACCCCTTCCTTACCAGAACTGCTTTTCCTGATTTTTGCAAGAGCTAGCTCTCCCCTGGTTGCATTCTGGGCTTACAGACAACTCTCTGCAGTCTTGCTTGTGTGAGTTTTCCTTTCGTTCCTGCATCACCATCGCCATCACTGTTATTTTCATTTCTAAACAGCCCAACAGCAGACTCTCCCTGAGTGGCTCATAATGCAAATAAAACAATAAAGCACCAGACACTTTTCCAAAAGCGCAAAAATTTAAAAACCAATTAAAAACAGCTCAAACTTCATATGAGTTAAACATAGCAAGTAGCTCCATCGAGCCTTTAAATACCATTGTATGCCTCGGCGTAAAAGGGCCATCTTAACTTGGTACCAAAAAATAACCACACTGGTATGAGGCAGACGTCGGTGGTGCGGTCACACCAGGGTTGGCGGGGGCTGCCACCGAGAAGGCCCTCTGCCTCCTTGCTGCCCTCCGAGCCTTCCTCAAAGCTGGCACCTTGAGGAAAACCCCGAGATACTGGCCAAGGTGTCCGGGCAGATCGCACCTGGGAGACAATCCATCCCATATTGCGATCCCAAGTTATTTAAGTTATATTTATATACTGGTTAAAATCAACATTTCCAAATGTAGTTTATAAGCAGCCAAGTGCAAGTGGGCCAGAACCGGTCTTATTCGGACTTCTTGGTCCCAGTTGTCAGTCAGGCTGCCCCCCTTTGCAGCAAGCTGCAGCTTCTGAACAGTCTCCAAGGAAAGGCCCATGCAGAGTGGGCTGCAGCAGAGATTTATGAAGTTCTGAAGCTCAGTTTTCCTAAGGGATTTTTCAAAACATTTCCAGATGGATTAATTATGCCATCTCCCTATGTTAAGAGATGCTTCATGTTTTAAGCCACATTGTTCCACATACCTTTTAATTTAATCACAGCATTATACTTCAATGCCTGCAATCTCCCCGACATTTCTTCAAACATCCATCTTTATGCAGTATACTTTAATTTTCCTCTGGTTTCTTGAATGCACTGGCTTCATCTCATAGACTGAATTCTCTCTTTATCTGCTGGGAATTAAATAAATCTTTCATGTGCATTGCCTCTGTACAGGGGTACTGGTAAATGGCATTTTTTAATACCTCCTCTTAAAGAACCAACGAACTTCATTTCCAAACTGAAGAGAAAGCACGGGGGTCGTTAAAGGGAAAGGTCCACATCAGAACCGCAGAGGTGCTGAGCTGCTGCGACTTCACCGGAACCTTGCAGGGCGATCAGACTCATTCTGCCTGCCCAGCTGATGCAAGCATCGCCATTATCAGCACCAGTGGAATTTCACTTTCATACTCTGCCCTTCTTCCTCTCCGGTTTGCTCTTCTCAACGATAACCCTGCAAGGTAGGTTAGGCTAAGAGCCCGTGACTGGCCCCCAATTCCCCCGAGCTTCACGCTTGAGCAGGGACAAGAACAGATGTGGCATGGATGGCGAAGGCCGTGTCCAACCAAGGCAGAATAACTGAAGCTGACTTTCAAGCGATCGCAAGGGTTGCAGACCAAAACAGCTCTTAGAAAGTGTTCTTGCTTTATTAAAGAATGTACAGAAACACACTTCCCCAGCCACAAGGCTTGAAAATGATGCTGCAGGCCGTGTCCGTGCTCAATGGGCTCACGAATGGAGGGGCTGGGCCCGAGGCAGACGAGCGCAGCTCAGGCTTGCGTCTCAGTCTCAAAAGCATTTGTGCGATGGCCAGGCAGCGCACAAGACCGTCCGTTCCCCCAGGCTGGAATGCACTTCGGAATAAGAACTACAGATCCTCCAGTCTCGACTCCCAGTGCGCAGCTGGAACTTCTCCCGCAGCACTCAGGCCCTCCTTTGGGCAGAGTCCACGCTCGCGTGGCCCAAGCAAGGCCTGTGACGGCAGGTGGTTGCGGGAGGAATGTCAGAGGGAGGTCCAGCCGAGTAGCCACCGGAAGCACCACGCTCGGGCTGCTGCAGAGCTTCCAGTGAAGAAGGAGCGGCAGAGGGGGAGAAATCATCCAGAGGAGACAGCGGAACCTTCTGCTCGCGGGGACACACGAGTCAGTTCACCCCCCACCCCACCCCAGCCCGGCCCTCCGTGCTTGCGCAGGAAGCTGTCTGTCCTGATCCTTCCTGCTCATGTAAGGCAGGGAGCTCCCAGGCCCTAGCAAGGCAGTTCGAAACACCATCCGCATGGCCCCATGAGGCTGGCCATGCTCAAGTCTCCACCAGGGACGTCTGCTTCATTCTCCCAGTGCCAGGCGGGGAGGCCTGCGATCCATCCATCGCACAAGCTCTGCCTCTCTCACGCCAAGCCTCCGTGCCGGTCCCCCACGCACGGCCCTCTTCCTCTTTGCAGCATCTTCCCAGGAAGGAAGCCCACAGGGGGTTTGAGAGATGCCCCTGGGCCACCATCCATCCCACCCACCCTTCTTCCGGGGAGCGCAGAACGCCACCGACCACCAGAAAGACCGGCTGCCCGTTTCCAAAGCAAGCCGGGAGAACGGTGGCCTCTCGGGAGCGGCTCGACGGAGACCGAGGTGTGGTCAGACCCAGGCCTGGAGGGCGCTCGCTCAGAAGGTGCTCTCCAGCAGGCAGTGGCAGCCGCAGCCGGTGGGACACACCTCCTGCGTGCGGAACCACTCCATCATGTGGCTGGTGTGCCCCCCGTGCCCACAAGTCAGGCAGAAGTTGGACGAGCCCCGCACGGCCACGTGGCAGATGGCGCACTGGAACGCGAAGCCCTTGCACAGCGCGCACTGGACGCCGCGCACCTCGCTGCGGCAGTGGCTGCAGTAGACGCCGAACTCTGCCGGGAGAGCGAGAGAGCAGAGGGGGCTTACAGGGGGAACATCCGCAGAGGGGCCGGGGCCGGAACGTCCTTCTGCCGCGGGCCAAATTCTCTTCCAGGCACGGTCTCGGGGCCGCGTCCAGGGAGAGAGGTGCACGAAGGTGAGGGGAGTGAGCAAAGCCAACTGCCGAGCTGACAGGGCCCCGACACCTGCACTCTGCCATCTAAGGCGCCGGCTGCTGGCACAGAAGCCTTGGGAAAGGAAATTCTGCTGGGGAGCTGGAGCACAGGACCTGGAAAGCCACCATCCCCGGGGGGGCGGGCGTGAGTGAGCGGTCAGGAGAAATCTGGGGCACCCGAGTGGGCTGGACGGGGACCCCAGGATCTGCCAGATTCACACACACCTTTCGTGAGGGCCAAATAGGCAGGACACCTTTTCTACAGGCCCTTTCCCACTGGGCTCTCCCGGGCCCTGCCAAAACCCACACGAGGCTTCAGCTCTGTTTTGCCGCTGCTACCCCATAAATTGTCCTTCTGCTTGGTGCTGCCCTGGAGGGCATCAGAAGCTGCCTGATCCGAGGCCAAGCCGCCATCCCCGCTAACCCAACCGGGCAGCTCTCCAAGGTCTGGGGCAGCCACCTTGCCCACCCGTCACTACCCCATCCCTTCCCCCGGGACGGCCAGAGGCCGAACGCAGGCCCTTCTGCGGGGAACACAACGCCCCCCGCATCGAGCTGGCCCTGGGGCGGCTGCCACTCACCAATCCCCTTGTGAGGGTCGGGGGGGCAGGAAACAAACTTGAGGACTTCCGCCCGCTTCTCTCGCAGGCCCCAGCGGTAAAGGATTTCGCCGTAGCACTTCTTGAAGTCATCAAACTGCTGGCTGTTGGCTGGATCCAAAACCCTGGAAAAAGAGACCAGGGTCCCCTTTGCGGCGGAAAGGAAGCTCACGCCGCAGCCCCCACTCACATCCAGGCGGAGATTCCACCTCTCTGCTGCCTCGCCTTTCCCTACGGACACTTAGACTGTAGCCTCCTTGCAGTTGCGACCTCTCTGGAAGACGCCCAGGGCCCACCTTTTGTTCCTGTCGTGCTGGTCCTTCTCCCGATCCCGATGGTCGGCGTATGCCAAGTTCCCGAAGCGGAAGTCCTCTGGCGAAGACTCGCACCAGGCCAGGGTGTGGTCCAGCTCTTTGTTGGCTGCAAGGAGGAAAGTTGGTTGGCAGGACGGAGAGGCAGTGAGGGCGGCTCTGGGACGGCCAAGCTTGCGGAGATCGGCGAGTCGGCCCAGAGCTGTGGAGCTCTCGGTCCCCGAGAGGAAGGCTCCTGTGCATGGCTCCCCGGCTGCCCCCACAGAGGAACGGGGGGGAAACGGGCCAGCCCCGCTAGCCTGGTGCCTTCTGTTGGATGGGACTGCAAGGCCCAAAATCCCCCCGCCAGCCATGCTGGGAGGCTGCAGGTGGGGAAGGCTGACTGGAGAGTACGATCCGCACAGGCAGGCAGGCAGGCAGGGCCAGTGAAAGGCCTGGCGGCGCTGCCGGGAGGGCTTCTCTGCCGCGGACGGAGGTGCGCTTACCGATGTTCCAGAGGCTGGTGCTGAGTCCAGGATCGGACATGCTGGAACAAGAGCCTGAGGAGGTGAAGCTGGGCTGCGGGAGGAGGAAGAAAGATGGCGTTACGGCTGGCAGACCCGGCACAGGCCGGGCCCTGGGGAGGGGAGTCACGGGTGGCTAGCATCTACCCGTACATAGCGGCTGTGGCTGGAGGAGTGCTGAGGAAAGAGCCCCGTGGGGTTCAGGGGCCCCTGCGGCCCGGACTGGGCCTCGAAGACGCTGCACAACATGGCCAGTGTTTGCACGTCATGGAGCTGGCAATAATGAGCCACCCTGTGGAGGGAAGGAGAGGAGAGGGAAGGTCAGGCGATGGCACTGCTGCGCAGACACACATGCGCTGCGTAAGCTACCCTCCCTCAGCCCGAGTGTGTGTGGGGGGGCTACGCAGAGCGCGGGAGTAGCGCTCATGCTCAGTGTCGGCTCCAGGGGCTGGCGGGGCGGGGACCCTTGAGCCGATCGAGACGCTCTCTGCGACCCGCCAACAGGCATCAGGGCTTGGAAAGGCCTGGTGAGGCTGAGCTGACTTGTGGCCACGCACCCGTCCCTGTGTCTTCCTGCACATTGCATCACAAAGCCGCACATGTGGAACGCAAGGGACTCCAGGCTCAGAAACGGCACTTTTTCCATGGAAAGGCAGGTGGCACTTAACCGCGGGTCCTCGCACTATGGCCCGGGGGCCGCCTCCGGCCCGCCACAGAGGTTTCGGGCTTGGAGAAAACGGTCTGTGAGCAAGCGAGCGAGCGAGCGGCCGCCTTCCCACGCGCCCGCCTGCCCGCCCGCCGCCGCCTCGCAGTGCCCCCGGCCCTGGGCAGCAGCTGGACTGCTCTGGGCGGCTTCCCCACCCCACTGGCCTTCAAGGCGCCTGCTTACAGGGACTCCAGCAGCTGGCGACCGAACGGGTGCTGGGCCCAGGGCGTCTCCAAGTCCGGGTCAGAGTTTGGGCCCAGGCAGAGGTCAGTGGCTACCGTGGCCAGCGACCAGACCTGCAAGAGAAGGAGAAGGAAAGGAGCTGGACAGCGATGCCTCGTGGACCGTGGAGGGTACGACCCAGCCCATGCTGAAGCGGTGGGAAGGCAGACCCACCAGTGGTCTTGGAGCTGGACTTCAAAGCAGCTGCCTAGATCTTCTTCCCTCCTCCTCAAATGGATTCAATGCATTTTCCAAATACCGAGAGACGCAAACAAGAAAAGTCACATCAAGCTTGTCGAGTTGCTGAGAGAGCAACCGGACGTCCCCCAGTCACACATGCGCACCGCCCTTTACTCTGCAGGCAAAAACATGGGTGGGACGCCCTGGCCGATCGGGGCCGTCAGTATTTTGCCCATTTTTTGCAACGTGAGGAAAGGGCTCGCCAGGCGTTGCTGCATTTGTCCCCGATTTGCAAATGAAACCAGACTGCTCTGTGTTTCAACCTTTGGCTCTAGCGAATTTACGCTGCGACATTCTGCCACGCTTCTTTGCCATGCCTCCGTGCACCACGACGTCGGCAATAAACGCTGCGCAGCTTCCAGCATGTACCCAGTGCCCTGCAAGCCGCCATCAACACACACACAGTTAATGCCCTAGGATGCCACTGCTGCATTTTAACGTATCATATTTGCCATTTCTGAAAATGTCACATTTCGAAACTGTGATGCGACAGGACACGGCCAGCACAAAAGAACGCACACATCTCACTGACTCGTTTCTCCAACATGTTGTGTTGTTGCGTTCGTTGCCCTGCCCAGACACTCTCAGTCCTACCAGACCAAACACTTCCCCAGCTAGCAAAGCGATGGCCTGGCTTGTCTGCTGACTGCGCTGATTTACATTCTGCTGTTCCCAGTACTGGGACTCTCGCCCTGTTACATCAGTGGGGAGTCCGAATGGGCCGTGAAGGGAGGACCATGCCGAGCACGCCTTCTGGGAAGCCCGGGTGGATGAGGGGGCAAAGGCAGGAAAAGCCCAGCAGTGACGCACAAGCAGGCCAGATCTGCTGTGACACGCGCATGGATCCGCACCGCTGAGCATCCCACGGGGCAGCGGTGCCGAAGAACATGCAGCTGGAGTCATGCAAGGCACGGGACGACATTCCAGCACGGAGCCGGAAAGCGACAAGTGGGACGCTGCGTTCCGGAGCAGGGCGCTCTCCCCCTCGCACCAGAAGGCATGCCTCTGCCCCGGCTGGGTGCCCCACAGCATGAGCGGCCATGCTGTGGGGACGGGGAAAGGCTGTCGTTTGGGAGGCACTTCTGCCGGCAACTCCACGCTGCAGGAGGCGTCCTGCCCCGTCTCGGGAAAGGAGAGAAAACGCAGCTTGCCCTCCGGGTCCGTCCTCTTCCGGGCTGAGACGCAGCCCTCTTTTCCCACTCATTTCTCTCCCCCAAGCTACGGAGCGAGCAAAGACCCTTGCCGAAAGAGTGGCGGGAGGGGTGGGGAGAGATTAAAAAGGCGGTAGGCAAGCGAGCGGCTCATCGTAGGGGGAAGAGAGGAAACGCTCACGCGGAGGGCTGGGAATGGCTGCTGGGGTGGGGGGCTCTCGCCCGCCCACGCACTCTTCTCGCTCAGGGCCGTGAGGTGCGCCGCAGGCGGGGAAGAGTACCTGCAGGAGATCCCTGCGTCCCATGGCCAGGGCGGAGGCAGCGTTCTTCTGGCAGGTCTCCTGAATGTCCACCACGTTCAGTCTGCAAGGGGGAGAAGCGCAGCTGATGTCGGAGAAGGCCTGCAGAGGCGGGAGAGGAATTTCCCGCTGGCCTCCCCAACGCCAGGGGCTGTGGGGGCTCTGCATGTAAGACCCCAACACCGCTACCGAGTGTGATGCACAGAAGCGCAGTCAAAGTAGCAATGCGAACCGGAGCTGCAGCGGCAGCCGCGCTTTCCGTGGCCTGCCTCCCACCCCCGGCCCCAGGCCCAGCTCTGCAGCATGCTTCCCGCCGGGCGAGGAAGGCGTGGCAGCCTGTTTCTCTGCACTTTCAGGAGCGCACGGCCAGCTTCAGGGGCGTGCTGGGTGTGCAGCGCATGGCCACCTCCCACGCAAGACGGAGTGCTGGGCTTGGCCTTCCCCTGTCCAGGACGGAGGCAGAGAGAAACGAGAGGGGGCAGGGGAGAGAGGGAACAGTGGCCGAGTGCGCGTGTGCGCAAGAGAGAGAAGCAGTTGGCAGGCCTTTTCAGGCTGGGAAGGAGAAGGGGACTTGCTGGGTAAGCAGGGGGCAAACCTGGCTCATCACAGGCAGCCAGGCGTCGGTGAGCACACAGGGCACTTGCGAGGAAGAACGGACTGCGGAACGCGAGCGGCCTGGAGAAGGCCCTCCGCTTCCCTCCCGGATCAGCCTCACACACGAATTACAACCCCCTTCAGCAAGTGCAGTGGGGCATCAGAGGAGGAGGAAAGGCCCCTCGCGCACGGCCCTTGTACTCACATGTACATCTCTCCAAGCGATCGGTGCACAGGCAACAGGCAGGAGATGTCCTGAATGATCACTTTCCCAGCCGCTTTGATCGGCCGGCTGCCGGCATCTGTCCCCTCTCGTTTGCTCTTCCATCGCCTGGATTTCTGCGGTAGACGGAGCAGCAAGTCAGAGCTGGCAGAGAGGGGAACTCAGCTCAGCCTCTTCCAGGGCATGTGCTGGGGTGGGATGGGGAGAAGCTTTGGAAGAACAGTCAGTCCACCACCCCCAAAGCACCGCCTAATGAAGCAGCTGGACAAGAGCAGCAGAGACACGGAGTGGAGCAGTGAAAACCAGGGGAAGGGCTCCCGGGTCTGTCGGAGAGGAGCGGATGAGGCAGCTCAACCAACAGGGATACCCAATGTGCCTCAGACTGAGCCTTGGCCCACTGACCTACTTCTGAGCAGGAGAATTCCCAAGTGCGACCTGGGACAGAATGCGGGACCAGCCGTCCCCAAGCGAAGAAGGCCCTCCGCCGCCTCTTCGGAAGCAGCAAGGTGCAGGCTGGATGGGAAGACGCCCTCCCAGCCCTGCAGCTGCACACAACCGCCGGGGAGAGGGAGGGAGGACGCTTCCCCAGAGCCGGGTGAATGGGCAGAGCGCCCCGCAGCCACGCTGGGGAAGGTGTGGCCTCTGGATCGTGTGGGGCTGCAGCCCTCATAACCCCACGCAGGACAGCGATCGTGTGGGGCTGTGTTCCAAGACGCCCCAGCAGACCTGGGAAATAGGGTAGAGCTGTGATGCCGAGGTGCGTCCCATCCTCCCAGGGGAGATGCGGACCTGTGCAGGCAGCCAGGATCCCAAGAAAACCGCCTGGAATTTGGGGAGACAAGTCTTATAGAGCTCCATTTCCACACTGGCAGAAATGTGATGGGGTGATTTCTTCACCAGTATTGGGAGAAGAGCTGATAAGACCTGACACACACTGGCGCTGAGACAAAAGGACCCCTATGCCGAGATAAGGCTCCAGTCACACTGGGACCATGGCCATCACCCCTTGGGTTTGACAGCAGCCCGACTTCACCGCCTCCGGTTCCCCAGAGGGGAAGCTGTGATTCTACTTTCCTGCACGTGCCACGACATGGTGGCGTGTTGGAAGCCCCTGCAGAGCTGGGGCAGGGGCAGGGGCAGGGGCAGCTCTTGTGCCCACCCTCCTCGAGGGATCCTGCATTCCTACAACATTCCTACACATTACGAGGCAAGGTAGGTGATCTGGCCCACCTTGAAAGAAGCGAGATGCGGGGGACAGCCTCGGTCGGCATGCGCTGTGGGCCAAAGACACACTGACTGGGAGAATAGCAGGCCAACTACTTGGAGGTACCGGCTCACCAGGGCTGCGTGGAAGAGAACCGATACCCTCCGTGATGCAGCAAAGGGCGCAAGGCACTCCGGATTTCACTGTATGGATCAAGTGCGCAGCGCAGGCTCTTGCTCAACCATTAGTGCTCTACCTTCCTAGGCACAACCCTTGGGGCCCAGGAGGACACTGCGCCTGCTCTTCTAGAGCCGTGGGGGAAATCCCACCAGAGTGCGCTTGCTGCCCAAGGTCTGCATGCAACAAGAGTTGCGTGTCATGCGCCTCCTGCAACCGGGGACTTTGCTAGAGAGCGTCTGCCTCCCCAACCGAGTTTCTGCATGCCATACAAACACAACTCCAAAAGCAAACACGAGCTTTGGAAATGGCGCTCAAGGCAGCTAATACTACAATACAGCTTCAAGAAAAACTGCATGCAAAAACACTAGAACACAATGAAAAGCTCAAAGCAAACAAGAAATGGTGCCTGATTAGAAACCCTTTCAGTAAGAAGCCTGCCGGCAGGTGTGTGCCCCACCTGCCACAAAGGTTTCCGAGGAACCTCACTCCATGAACTGGACTGAACTCAAAGCAAAAAAATCAAGCTCAAAGGGGGAGCTGCAGCCGATTCCTTTCAGTTCGCAAGGGCGATGTGTCTCCCACACCCGGCCAGAACGGGTTTTGTTAATTTAACGACGTGCATAATGTAGCTTTGGAACCCTGGCATGATCCTCCCCGAAGCAGGCATGAGGGACTTTCGGGCACCCCAGAGGCAGCCTGCCAGCACTGGCTGGGGCCCCCGCAGGCACGCAGCCCCCAAGGAGCTGCTCTCCCCAGTCACTGGGGCTGCCGACTATGCCCCCGCACAGGACTTCCTCGCATCGTGCCTTCTCTGGGGCAGAACTCTGGTCAGCTACTCAAGGCACCTGCCGAGCCTGGAAGGGGCTTCTCCAGGAAGAAGGGGCTGGTGGGGTCTGTCCAGGCAACTTCTTGTGGGACAGGCGGAGTCCAGGGCCAGGTTCTCCACCTGCAACTGTGCAGCACGAGCAGCGGGGAAGCCCCGTCAGTCGGCTCGTCAAGGGGAGACGAGCAATGAGCTCAGCCAGGTGTCTTGTGCAGCCTCTGGGCTGAGGAGTCAGGAGGCCAGCCCCCGGGAAGCCACAGGGTGGACAGATGGAGATGGGAAGAGGTGTGCGCACACACCTGCCTGCACAGCTACACGTTGAGCTTGCATGTCGAGTCGCCTTTGCTAAGCTGGACAGGCACAGGCCCACAGCTGCACAGGGGACCAAAGGTGGAAGTGGAGCAGGGGCTTGGACTCCATCTCCTTATAAGCCCTTCCAACCCTGCTTCCATTCCGTTCTATTCTACGATGGGCTGTGCTGGCTTCCCTGCATCTACACAGTTGTGAGGCTTGCCACCAGCCCTGAAATATTACACCTCAACCCCCTCCAGTTTGAGAATTAACCATCTGTCCCACCAAGGAGGAGGGGCTTCACAGTTAGATGTGCAGTTTGCATCGACAAGCCAAAGCGAAACGGCAGACTACTCTGATGTGGGGAGGCCGTCAAGGGATCACCCAAGAGGGAGCTGCAGGATGCAGGGAGCTGAAAGAGGCTGAGTCGAGCGCAACGCCAGCACCCTGTACAGTGGAAAGGAGGCTTCAGGCACAGCACAGCTGAAGGTGATGCTCAGCATAAATCATGCAAATCAGAGCAGCTCGCCTATATTTTGCATCATTCATTCTCAGGGGGAAGGCCACCAAAGCTACATCCTCAAGGCTCCCAGGAAGAAATGCTGAGCTTCTCAGCTGCACCAGGCAGTTCCACACAATTCAGCCACCGTAAGGGCAAGAATAGCTAGCATTTGCATTAGGCTTCATGTACATTATTAGGTGTTGGGAAGCCCTGTAACAGCTCTGCGAGGCAGGCCAGCGTGACACCTGTGTTGCAGATGTAGACCAGAGGCTGAAAAGGGCGTCTAGTGCGTTCATAGCGGAAGCATATTTTGGATCAGGGGCTTGTCCAGTTATCGTCCAGTCCCTTAGCTGCGAGGCTGGCCAGCTCTTGAACACTGAGGTTGTTAAAAGCTGGATTCCAAACCCAACACAAGTAGAAAGAACCACTCCCCTGCCCAATGTTTCTAACACAGGACCCATGGTCTGCGCTCCACCATCACCAAACCTTAGCCACAGCTGTCCCGGTTGTGCTGGAAGAGCGAGCCTGCTTAGAAACACCACCACTGGATCCATGGGACCACACAGCCTATGGACAGTGCCCCCCCCCCAGCTGCAATCCAGGTTACGCAAAGCCAGGCAAGTGGCGGGTTATTCTTGGGCCTGAGGGAGCAGACAAGAGTTGGTCAAGGGCAGCGGCAAGGCAGCACACAGTACCGAGAAGTCGTTAATCGCTTGTATGGACCAGCGCCGTCTGGCTGAGCAAGGAGACATCTGTGTATGAGAATGTTACGCCCAGGAGGAGGAGGAGGAGGAGGAAAGAAGGAGAGATGTTGAAAAAAAGAGATGGGGAAGAGGAAGAAAAGTACATAGCGAAGAAGCTCTGAGCTGAGGGACCAGGGGTTCTGTGCTGCAGGAGAACAAGGGGTGGCAGATGCAACCCCAGCCCTGCGGGAACGCTCCTTCTCCCATCTCACCAGGCACCGTCAGCTCAGCCAGGTGGAAGAGCGGGGCACAACGAATCAGCCCAGTAACAGAGCTGCCTCCAACCTGGCGGCCTCCAGGTGGTTGGATGACGGCACCCGCTGGACAGAGGATGCTGAGACTGGCCATCCAACCCGTCTGAAGGAGGCCAGGCTGGGGCAGGCTGCAGTCCATGCCGCCCTGACCGCAGCCACGGCCTGCTTGGGCCTGGCAGTCAGCCACAGGGCAGGGGCAGGGGCTGATCCTGTGCTGCTTGACATATGGCGGGTGAGTCTGAGCGGCCTGACTGCCCCCCCACCCAAGAAAAAACATGGCATGCCTAAACTGTAGGCGCAAGCTTGCAACCACCGCCAAGCCTCTTCCGCGCCAGCCCTCTATTTTTGTTACTGAGAGGAGCACGCAGAAGGGGGATCCTGACAGAGCCTCTTACATCAGAGCCCTCTGATTCCCAGGAGACCCTGAGCAGCCTGGGAAAGGAAGCCAGCTCTCTGGGGAGGGATGCCTGCGGACTGCAGCCTGGCTCTTTTCAGCCTGGTCATGCCCCGTGATCGTGAGTTGCAAGAGTCCACTTTTAAAGGCTATTTTCACATTGCATTATTTTAAAAATGCATTTGCGTGATGCTGTTTGCATGCAGAAATTTAGTGCGCCCGTGCAATGCAACCATGCTGCTTGGGGCACTCCGGGGAGTTGTGAGGGGCTGCAGCAGCACCCAAGAATTTTAGAGATTGCTTTAGGTTCTGATCTTGTAACGTGAGCAAAGGCTAAAACCAGAGAAAGGAGATAAAGGGTTCAACTGCTCCAGCGTCTAAAAATGGCAACGTCCCCTTGAGGGTGATTCCAACGGCTTGCGCAAGTCCACCCTTAATCCATAAATTCCGTCACTGCCATGCGGGAACAGCACTTGATGCTAAAAGAGCTTTGGGTGGGGCAGATTCTGTTGCTTCGCCCGCCAAAGAATCTAGGACAACTGCTCTGCAACCCAGCAGACCCCAGAGAAGATGGGTGCAGCGCCCTCATGCTGGCTGGGGGATGCTGGCGCTACAGTTGGACACATCCGGAGGGATACTGGGGAAAAGGTCATGGAGCAACACGCATCCTATGACGGTCGTCCAGGCATGCCCGCTGGGGAGCTCCAAAGGCTCCCCCAAGTAGCAAAGAGTACGAGAGACGACTAGATTCCAACATCCCAGTAACTAGATGGAAAAAAGAGACCAAGTCTCATTATGCAAATATCGATGTCGTTTTCTTTCTCAAGTTAGCTGTTCCACAGAATAAAACTATATATTTTTCCTACATCCTGAGACTTTGCTCTTTTCCCCAGTGAGCTGAACACTTGGGTAAGAAGAGCTGCCAGCCACTCAGCCCATGCCTCCCGCTTGCTCCTCTTCCTTCAGCAGCTAATTTTCTGGTGAAATGGAGAGGAAAGAGGCACAAGGGGCAAAGCTCGCTGCTGAGGCTAAGCAGATCCAGCCGGACTGCAGGCTTGACCACAGTCGCCTCTACCGCTGCGCTTTTGCTCGGCAGGAACACTCAGTCCTCCCAGTGCTCTGGGAAGATGTGGGCTGCCATTGCATGGTCATGGCAAGGTGACACGAGGCCTGTGAAGACGCTTCACACAGCGCCCAGGCGGAAGGCATGGCCTTCTGGGCTGCACCCCTTCTGATTACGAGTTGGGGTCATCGTTTTGAACGCTTCCCCTACATTCAAAACAAAGAAACCCTCCACATCCTCCCACATTGTGAACTAGTGCAGCAGAAGGAAGAAAGGTGATACAAGTTTTACTACAAATGGGGAGCTTTTTAACACGAGCGGTCAAAAATCCGATGCTGTCCCTGCACTCCAGACTCTGAGTGGGACAAAACTGCAGCGTCTTGTCCTGCAGGATGCAAAGGCTTAACACATGATCCACTTGGGCTTTCGGGGCTGCCTATGAACTCGCGGGCTCCATCTTTGCTGTCTCGGCTACAGTGCAGCGTACGAATGGCACGGCCAAAGGAATGAACTTCCACTGACCCACTTCCCCCAAATGGAGAACTTTTGAGAAGTGCGTCTGGGTAGCAATATGTAAGGGAAACAGGGCTCTCTCTCTGTCTCTCTTTTGGGATGGTGGGCACATTTAGAATTGTGGGAGTTTTGGATGCCGTCAGAAAAGGGTCGCCATGGCAGGCGATAAAACACTCACTTCCCAGAAGCAAAACAGTGAGGCTAAAAGAGAAGCAACTTACTCAAGAACCTAAGTCTGAGGCAAGGAAGGGGTGGGGCTGAGCTCCAAAACATAACAGTTTACTGAACCCAAATACCGAGGGTGCTGGAATCCAGGCTCCCAGTTAAAAAACAAAGCAGCTGAAGATGAGAACGAGGAAGAGCAAGGAGCCTGGAGGATGCCCACGTGAGAATTAAACTTGGGACACCAGGGACAGAACAAACCCGACGAATCACGAGCAGCGCACCCACTGCACTGGGCAGAAGAGATGCCTCCCTGGCCACATCATCAGATGAGGAAGAAGGCAGGTGAGTGAAGAGGGTCTCCCATCGGGGAGCGGGGCCTTTCCAGCCTGTGCCCATCCATGCCCTGTAGCGCAGCTGAAAGCATGAGGCATGTGAAGGCACCGAGGGCTCACCTGAACAGTGGGATGCAGGCATTCTGGCTTGGTGCCCTGGAGTCAACGGCATCCTTCGACACCGAGCGGGTGCTCAGCACCTAGCGGAGCAGCATCTCGAGGGCATCCAAAGGGACGTGAAGAGGTCCAGCCCACACAGGGGACATCCCAAACTGCATGGATGTGTTCCTGGGCAGCACTGCAGCCCCCTCCCCCACTTTGCATTACCCCCTCACAACAAAATTCCCATAATTTGTGCTACTAAAGCAGCCACCAAATTGCACAAGGGACTGTGGCAAGGAAGAACACAAGGAGACTGGCTGGTTACTGAGGAACCAAGTCGGAGCTCCTGGCCAGGTATAACCGGCACATTCCAATCCCTGACTGTCCCCAGACACTTGTTACCACCTGAGCTGGAGACGCTCTTCCGAGTTGGATCCCCTGTACATTCAGCCCTGTGCAACCGAGGAGCTGCCATCCTTGGGCGGAAGGACTCTGCTGGTCTCTGGGGGTTGCCCTCCTCCTCACACCACAGGCCCGTCTCTCTGTCTAGCATCTCCAGGGGAAATCCACCTCCATCGACACAGCTGATCTGGCTTAAGCTGGGACCCAGCCCTGGGAATCTGGCCGGCCCAAGCCGGCTCAGGCCAAGTTCCGCATTGCCAGTGCCGGCCGGCGGCTGCCCTCCTCCCCTTCGTGGTCAGCTCAGCACAGACAGCAGTTCAGAGCGAGGTGGTGCGCCTGGTGTGTGGAACTGCAACTCGCGCCATAGCCAGTGGCCGTGCGGGGCGGAAACGGAGGGAGGTGAACCCCAGCACTGCCGGAGGGCCCCAGGCTGCGGAGGGCCATGCTCCCAGAGGCTGGAGCGGCAGTCAGTAACGGACTCTGGTCCAGAACCAGATAGGAAGCACCTTGCCGCTTCTGCTTGGGTAGAGCATGGGTGCCCCGACAGCCTCCAAGGCATGCCGGGAGCCCGGCCTCCTGCACGGAGAACACAGCAGGGACCCTGCGCTGCCTGCCGCCAACCCAGGGCCCCCTGGGGAGCATGAAAGGCGGGGAGCCTCTTCCACAGCCGAGACCAACCTGCGGGTGCAGAGGGGTGACCGCGGGGGCACCTGAGCCATACGTCCCATTTGCAGCGCAGCTTATCCCAGGGCCCCCAGGGCGGAGGATGCTCGCCTCACGAGGGCTGCCGGGAGGGGGAGGAGGCAGTGCCAGCAGACTCTCCTCACACGGCTGGAGGTGAGGCGACCTGGCGAGCTCAGGGCAAAATGCTCACCCTTTCCTTGTAGTAGAAGGAGCTGATGGAGACCTGCTCCTTCTCGCTGCGGGTGGGGCTCCCCCCGTACAGGCGCAGGTTGCCAGGTGTCTCTGTGCGGATCTTCATGGGGGTGATGAGGCCACTGTGGTAGGCCGAGAGCGCCGACAAGGATCTGAGGATGGGAAACATGCTCCTGAGTTTTGGGAGTGCTGGTGGCATGTTCCAAATCAGCCGGGTGGGGGCAGGGGCCGCCATGGCATCCCACAAACCAAAGTCGCCACCTGGCGTGATGTCTGGCCACTGATCTATCCTGCGCCCTTTCTGGAGGACAGCAGCTCCCCGGGAGCTCAGGCGGGGGCCCTTCCCAGACCCAGCGCCAGAGAGCCCGAGGAATGAACGAACCTGGGCCGGCAGCAGGTCTCTCCCTCTCCTGAATTCCCAGAGGGCTTGTCTCACGCGGAGGATACCCCACACTCGGGCCGCAGAGCACTGGGACAGGTCCCACAAGGGTCATTTCCTGACACGCTGTGTACTTACCGGGGAGTTGGCTCGGTCGGCGATACTGCCCGGTGCATCGTCATAGGCCTTGTGAAGTATACCAGGTACCCTGCAAAGATTAGACACCCCACGCTGAGGAAAATCACCTTCAAAGCAGGGTGGGAATCTCGCAGGTTAAACCTCTCATGGGCCATGGAGCCAATGGGAGCTATAGGCTACAGCTGAACTCCTCTATGTGCAAAATTAATTTTAAAAAATACTAGGCAGTCATGAGAAGTTCCTCCAAGGTTCTGCACAGTATCCTGAAAGGGCAGCTCAAGCCTGCCCATTAAGGGATTTGTGACTGCATGTTCTTTTGCAAGCTCTGGTTTTCTTTTTTAAGCAGATAGATGCAATATCCCCTTTATTTTATACCTGCTTAGTAATTGACTAGGAACAGCAGGAAGGGAGAGAAAAACCTAAACCCGAGACTGGAAACTGTAAACTCTAGCTGGCAGAGTCTGAAACAGCATGCAAACGGAAGCTGTTCCTGCAAAGTTGCTGGTTCTATCCCAGCCCTGGATTCTGCATCTCCAAGGCAAGAGTTGCAATCCCAGGACCATGCACACATTAAGCCTCTCTGCAAACACTGCGAATCGCTGCTTTGTGTGCAGGTGCGCATCTTGACTCGCCAACCAAAGTGTTTGCGAAGCAGCGTATTGGCCAGCCAAGAGACGGGAAAGGGCCGAGTGGTGTCCCCTGCTGTGAGGATTTCCAGTCTCACCAACTCCCCTCTCCTTCTGATGCACCCTTGCTAGGCGCTCTGGCCATTTTACTGGGCTCCCCTGGCCTCGCTATTTTGTCTCAACCAACCTGCCCCACAGAACCTGGCTCCAGAGGTGCGGGGGAACGGGATGTTGGAGTCCTGGTAGGAGCCATAGGCATTGGAGACCCTGGGAAAGGCTGGCAACGGCGGCGTTACGGAGTTTGGGAGCGCATAGGGGTTGCCAGAGGAGCTGTCCTCTTGGTTCTGAAAGAGACGATCACATCAGAGGCTGGACTGCTGGACTCAGGGTAGCAACACCAACGTCGCCACGGAACGGTGTGCTGCAGAATGCTGCTCTTTGCCCCTCGCTTCTCCAACGCAAAGGATCACGGTGGAGAAGGCCTGGGGAGAGGCTGCCGGTCAGAAGAGATAGTACGGAGCCATAGGCAGGATGGGCAACCCGTAAGCCAAAAATCCAGAGGGCCACGACTTCTGCGAGTCCCAGCCGGCAAAGTAGGGGGCAAAGGCTGAACGTCTGAAGCCTGCTATGCAAGGTCAAGCCTTTTCAAGTCTCTCTCAAGACGGGTCTAATCAGCCACATCGAAAGATAAGCTCTGGGCGTCTCATGGTCTAGGGCAGGGGTCGGCAACCCGCGGCTCCGGAGCCGCACGTGGCTCTTGAATCCCTCTGCTGTGGCTCCGTCGCTCAAAACACGCGCCGGCACAGCCGCCGATCTGCCACAGAGGCTCCGAGTTACAAAGTACCAGTAGGTGATGATGAGGCATCCACTCAGGAACGCCCCGCTAGCTGGTTAGGGAAATTGCGACATTCCTGTGCTAGTGTGCAGGGAAAGAGTGGGACAAGCTTCCTGCAGGCTCTCATGTTACACAAACGCTGCTGAAAAGATTCTCTTTGTCCCAATGTCATCTCCTTCCTCTGAATGATAAAAGCTGCGCTTGGGACCTGTCACAATTCACAGCACTTGACTGTTTATCTGCTAATCAGTCACTAAACACATCTATATCTGCGACTTCCCCCGGTAGGCCAACCATGGATAAATCGAAGAAAAGTTTCTGAAGAAAACCAAACATTTAATGATATGTGGGGAGATTCATTTGCTTTTACTGCTGACGAACTTATGGGGTTTGCTGTTTAATGCATGCAGCCCTTTAGCACTGACTTTGACTCTTCAGGAAAGCTGTTCTATTCAAAATATATGAAAGGAGTCCTACTAGTTTATAATGTAAGATTAAAAATAACGGTGTTTAGAGACTGGACAAGAGCTGCAGCTAAATCATAATGCAGAGATACATAGCATTAAGGTAAAAAACGATGTATGCAGTGTGATCTTCATGTTAGACGTCAAAGGGGTTTGCGGCTCCCGGGGTTTTCTTTTGTGTGGGAAACGGGTCCAAATGGCTCTTGGAGTGTGAAAGGTTGCCGGCCCCTGGGCTAGGGAGAGGTAGCGATCTGCCTTGTCTCTTTTTTGGGATCCCCATGACAGAAAATGGGAAGCATTTGACCCTGTCTGCAATGATACCACCTATCTGGGAGTTAGTCACTAAATTTACCGTCACGGGAATGACCAACTCGCATCCTAGAATAATAAATGAGCCAAGCACAAGGCTATGGAAGGGTGTCCCTTGGGGCTGACAGGTGGCAGCCTCGACCTCAGTGTGGTCACATCCAATCCTACTTGTGCACGGAGATTTCTAACCGGCCCAGACCCTACCGCACGCGCCTGTGGAAGGACCACAGAAAGGGAATGGCCATGGGCGTGACCTTCTGCATGTGGGAAAGGAGCCGCCAGGTTTTGACGAGTGCTTCCTGATCCTAGTTACAAAACAGAAACGGGAAAAAAAGGGACCTGTTAAGAGGAGAAATCGATTATCTGTGAAACCGGGACTCATCTATTTTTAGGAGCCAGTCCTCTGGGGTTTTGGCATTCCTGTCTAATGCGCTTTTTGCACTTCAGGTTTAGGGCACGTTGCTAAAAACTGATAGCAAATAAAAACAAGGGATTGGTTTTTGCTTTAAAAGCTGCGTGCCACTTCGAATTATGTTTATTAAGAGGGATACTAAGTAAGTAAGTGCGTGAATCCTTCGACAGCTGTGAAACAGGGGGATTCTGGAGGTCCAGTCCAGTCCATCTGGAGGACTCCAGGTTGGCAAAGGCTGGACCGACTGCCACCAAGCGCATGGGGCCAGATGAGGGTCGGGGGCGAACTGCTTCTTACCACAACAGACTCCAGGCAGGAGACCAACTGGCGCAGACACGGCTCCAGGCAGCACTGGTTCCGCTTGACCTTCTGAGTGGACGTATCCTTCAGGATCTACAAGAGTTGCAAGTGCGGCTTGGATCATTTGGGTCAACCCCCTCCAGCCTCATCACTGGACACACGGTCAAGTCAGAGCTCGCCAGGGGACCCACCTTCAGCAGCTTGGCCTTCATGGTGGACGGGATGGTGGTCTGGCTGACAAACTGGAAGGAGGGGGCGGCGTTGTTGGGGTACTGCGCGGGGAACATCACGAGCATCTTGACCCGGTGGTTGCTGCAGTGTACCGAGACTGTGCAGCTACGATTTACAGCATCCATCTGCCACAGCCGGGCACAGAGAGATACGACAAGTTCTTGAGCTGGCAGCAAACTGACACTACGCCTTTATATCACTGCTTAAGATTTTTAAAGGTTATACTTAAAAAGGTTTGCTTTCAGGAAGGATGGAACGCCACCGAAATTGCTTTTAAATAATGGAAGGAGTCTGTTCTCTGCCAAGGCCATCTGATTGGGGTTTCAGAGGGAAAGGCCACGATGGGCACCAGCATGGCTCCCCCACACCTTCCAAGGACACAGGAAGTGAGAGCATCATGCAGGCGTCATGCATGTGCACCGTGCTGAGGCATTTCGATGGGAACTCAAGCTCAGAGAGCAAGGGGACTGCCATGGAGTCTCAGCATGTCCAAGCAGTGGACCAGGGAGGTACGGGAGGAGGAGCTGGCAGTTCGGGCCCTGGTCCGTCCACCAATCCATCCAGAGGATTTGGACTGGAGGCCCAGCATGTCTCACAGTGGAGACGGACAGCTCAGTAATTTGTTGGACACAGAAATCCCCCTCCGGGGAAGGTGGGGCTGGCTGCGAGGCACCGGCAGAAGGTTCCATTGGGTGAAAGACGGGAAAAATGCAGCTGGGCAAAATTTCACAGTGCCCCTCCTGAAATGAGATGCCAAATGGGTTATACAAAGGCAAGGGAACAACTGGTTTTAAGAGGGCTCAGACTTTCTTTCTGGGTGAACTCAGAGCTGTGTATGAAGTCTATTGGAAAAAGGAGTTCTGGAGTAGCATGTTTACTCATGAGGAGCCCAGCTTGTGACCCAGACGACTTGCCAGGGGAACCTTGTTGCCCTTCCCCTTAGTGTGTCAGGTGCAGGGAAACGGCTCGCGTGGCACGGAGGAGAGAGTGCCAGACTGGGACTCAGGAGCACCAGGCTCCGGTCCCCACCAGCCATGGGGCCCCGTGGGTGACTCAGGGCCAGCTCCTGACTCAGGCTAGCCTACCTTACAGGGCTTTTGTGAGGATAAAGTGGCAAGGTGGGGGACTATGTAAGCCCCCCAGGTTCCTTGCAGAGAAAAAGGGACACAAGATTAGTATGTTAATAAATAATTGTGCAAGGCCTCGTGGATTTCAACCTCCCAAACCCTAGCATGCCCGGGGGCGGGGGGGGGGAGTGATGCTCCCTCACCTCCATGTTGACGTTGCGGATCTGCACATTGATGAGCGAGAACTCCTGCTGCAATGTCTGGGGCAGCCCCGGCTGGTCCAGCTTGTTCCCCACCAGGAGGCCTTTCTGGGTGTCTTCTTTCAAGGCTGCCACGGAGAGAAGGGCAAGTTCTGGAGATCTGCCTGTACCCCTCAGGAACAGGGGTGAAGCTTGGGGGGGTGGGCTTGGCCAGGGACCTGGCGGGTCTGTTCAAGTCAGGGAGCTCATCGAGAGCTGCAGAGCCGGACGACGGAGGCAGGAGGTGCATTCAGCAATAGGGATCATTCCTTCTCGGACCAGGGAGCCCTCGAATTCGGGGCAAGGCTTTCGAGGCAACCTGCCCCGCCTGGGATGGGACAGCTCTCGCCATCTCCCTCCAGCATGGGCTGGGTGTGGTGGGAACAGTCATCTTCACGTGAGCCTCTGACTAAGAGGCGCAGCATATAAATGCACAGCCCGATGCCAATGCGGGGCCAAGGCTGCTGCAAGGCTTACCCTCAGATCGAGCAAATTACCTACAGAGACCAAGCGAATTTGCCAGAGGAGGATCCACAGCCAGGAAGGGGCACCCACCTGCACAGCCCCTCTGTCCATGCACCTGCCACCCACCTTTTCAGGTACTCAAAGACACTGCACGGCTTTTCCAGGTAGTGAGAAATGAGGAGGTGTCCCCGAAACAGCATGCAATGGGCATCACCTCCTCTTTCCTCCTCCCCCTAAAGCCAATCTGTCACTAGAGAGAGAGAGAGGGGAGCATTTGCCAACACCCAAGCAGCTCTTCCTGCCCGCCTCACCTTCCTCCTCGCCGTGAGTCACCATTTGCTGGGGCTCTGTGTCCTGGGCAGGCAGGGCCTTGTCCGGCTCTGGCAGGAGAGAAATTCCATCGATGAGTTCCTCCACTCCATCCAGGAGGTCATTGGAACAGAGCTGGAACAAGAGGCAGCGTGTGTGGCAGCACAGGACAAAGCCGGGCGCACTGAGGCTGGGCGGGCGAGAGGCAACGGGGAACGCTTCAGGACACGGAGCGTTCAGCTCCCGGCTGGCTTTTGGCACCTCCCCTCAACTTCCACAACGTGTTGCTCACTGCAGTCGAAGGTGAACAGATTTTCCAACACGCCCAGAGAATCCACTTTCTGCACCAGTTTGGCTTCACACCCATACCATCCTTAAGCTTTCCTGCAGATCCTAAAGGCTCCTTCTCCCTGTGCCTCTTTAGTTCCTGCCTAAGGCGACTCTCGAGAGGAGAGACACACTTTGATTTCTCTCCGAAAGCAATCCCAAAAGGATGTCCACGCCACACTTCAGAAAACCTCGATATCTGGATGGAGAGGCAACAAGCAGATGGGAAGGCCCGCTCCCTGACAGAAAGCACAGCAGAGCCGTAATGCCAGCCGTGGAACTGTGCCACGGCCTTCACTGCAGCGCCTGAGATTTTGCCCAAGCAAGGGGCTGCTCTAGAGGATGCTCAGAGTAGCTGCCCATAGCTAGATTTAGTTTCTCTCGAATCCACCATAAAAATCAGCATTGAGAAAGAAGAAGTGACCAAATCAAAGAGAAGAGGACCTTCAGTTACAGAATGTGAGATGATAGGTACAGGCACTGGGGTCAGGCAAAGTGACCATGCTGTATTTTACCCTCTCAATCCCTCAACTTTAAGGGGCTGCAAAAGGAAAAGTCTGCCAGCCACCGTACCTACCCTCTGCAGCTGGGCATCAACTCGCCACATCCGTAGCGTCTGATCTCGAGACCAAGTGACCAGCTGGCAATCTTTTGACCCTGAAAGGAGGAGAGAAGAAAAGCATTCCCAATCCAAGAGTTAAAGCTGTCCCACTTAAGCAAAGGGCTACCTTTTTATTTAAGCAGCATTTTAAATGTTAATATTATTGAATTTTATCTGGCCAGGGTGGCTTATTTTATATGGTATGTTTATATTTTATTCTAATGTTTACATTTTTAATTTATGATTATGATTATTTAACTTATTGTTGTAAGCCGCCCCGAGGCTTTGGCGAATGGGGCGGCATAAAAATGTTTTAATAAGTAAGTAAGTAAGTAAGTAAGAAAGAAAGAAAGAAAGAAAGAAAGAAAGAAAGAAAGAAAGAAAGAAAGAGGGAAGTTGGGGCTTAGCAGAAATCAGGGGCTGAGGGTGCAAGGCTACTAAAGCTACTGAGTTTTAAATCAACCAGCCTGAGAACAGGGGGTGTGTAACAGATGGGAAGAAACACAGAAAATGCAGCCTAATGCAGACCTTAAGGCCTGCCTCCAGCGAGGCCCTAAACCCCCTTCCAAAGAGCCCCCTGCCACTGGGGGACGCATCTGAGGACAGGAACGTGCACCTGCCCCACCTGGCCTTGTCCTGCCCCCAGCACCCTCTGCCACCAAACTCTCTTTGGAGAGAACCCCACTGATTATGCGCAAAATGTCTACCTTGCTCGTTATGACATTTTTATGTAGAGTGTAAGCTGCCTTGATAGGACCTATGTCCATCGAGCAGCATATAAATCAGGGGTGGGCAGCCTTGCTCCACAGAAGAGCGGCAGACGGTCAATTGTCAGACTTTTGAGAGCTGCAAGCGGGCGGCCAGTGGGTGCCTGTGGGCAGCAAGCAGCGAGACGCTGAACGAACTCAAAGTCACATGCAGCTCACCAGCCTCCGTTTGGCCACCCGCACACGAACTTGCAACACACAGGCTGTTAAATTGGGAAGCTGCGCATCCCCCGGACCAAGGGTGAATCGTTAGAAGACAGTCCGGAGGGGCCGACCACAGCGCAGCCTTCCCTCTTGCCGGTGCACCAGCAGAGAGAGGCTGCTGCAAGACGCCTGCCCCGGCACACACCTTCTTTCTGCTTCCGCCACTGGAATTCCAGCACCACGTCATCGTGTCCGACGAAGGTGTGAACTGGCGTGTTCAAGTCAAAGACATTCCAGAGGAGGAGACTGTTCTCCCTTCGCAGCTGGGGCACCATCACGGTCACCAGCCCGTTGCTGAAAGGCTGGAGAGGGGAGGGGAGGGGAGGGGAGGGGAGGGAACTGCAGCTCAATGCTCAGCTCAGAAATTCTGCAGCATTTCTGATGTTCCTTCCCACCACAGGCACTGCGGCATACCAAGGGACCAAGGACTGGCCCAAAGGGTACCCAGCCCTGTCACAGGCCAGACCTGTCCCGGCACCAGCTGCAGGTCACTCTCCTCTGCTGTGCTCAACCACTTCTGTAACATGCCAACAACTGACTCCCGGATACACATCGGCAGGGTGGAAGCGAATATGCAGCAGGACACAGCTTTTGTGCAGATGCTGCTCAGCGGAGCCAAGCCCAGGGAGCCAGGGTTCCACCTGGATGCCAGGAAGCACGTCCTGACCGCCAGGACCCCGAGGGTGTGGAAGGGGCTTCCCCGGGAGGTGGCTGAGGCCCCATCCGTGAGGGTGTTCAAGGACAGGCTGGATATGCATACGGTGGGCATGTTGTGAGCGGAGCCGGCTGGAGCCGGGGGTCAGACTAGATGGCCCGGGAGACCCCTTCTGGCTCGCTCTGTTTCCATGTTTCTATGACTCATGAAGCAGTCCTCCATCTCTGCAAGTTTTCTTTTTTTTTCCAAGGGCCAGTGAGGTGGTGGGCAGCTTAAAGAAACTCATGCTGTCCCGCATCCTTGATCTGCCTTCTTCCTCTCTGCCTCTACCCCTTTGCTGAGGCAGAGGAGGGCCTGCACTCTGACGCTGCTTTCTGTTATCTTAGCTGCACACAGGCACTATCAGTGGATATGTTTTACACGCTCACTTCTCTGCTGTTAATCGCTGCTCATCCAGAGGAAGGCCAGGAGGAGCACCCATGCTCAAAACCCCTCTCTTCAAACAAACAGGATGACTGCAGATCAAATGGTACCAAAAAATGTGGTGGGACACTGACTCCCTTCCACCGGGATGCAAGCAGAAGCTGAGAAGCTGAAAGGAGCAGTATTCGCCCCAGACATGCATGATTCACACATCCAGCCGGCCATCCCTCTGGGGTAGGGTCTACCTCAGTCTACTCAAATGGACAGCAATCTGCATACAGCCTGTGTGTCTATGACCTGCATTTTGAACGGTAAGCCGCCCAGAGAGCTTCAGCTGTGGGGTGGTATAGAAATGAAATGCATGCACGCATCTCAAAATCCCTTACGGGTTACGGAAAGGGCTGCCGTGTTTTCCCCAGCCTCCCTCAACCTGGTGCCTTCCAGCTATGCGGGACTACAACGCCCAGGCAGTGTTCGGCCTTGCAGTTTAGGCCATCTGGCGGGCTCCAGGGTGGTCACTGCCGGGCAAGCTGTCTACCGGGGAGGGGCTGATCATCCCTCCCACCCTGCCCCACACGGCTGGCACCTTCCCTCTCCCACCTGCCCTGTGACTCGCCGGTTCTGCAACAAAGGCTCTGCTCTTACCGTGTATCTGGCTTTCCAGACTGGGACCTGACAGGCCAGGATGTTGAGGTATTTTCGGGGCTGCCGGTAATCCCAGAACTTCAACAAAAGAGATAACGAGCCAGCTCAGGAGGATAGGAAACAGCAACACGGTGAAGCCACCCCAACGAGAGCAAGGGCTGCAAGAAGCGAACCGCCAACAAGGGCAAGAGAGGCCCACCATCCTGGTGCTACCGGGAGAGTTCCATTTCTTGCCAAAAGGTTCAGACCAGTGCCGACTTTCACCACCCAGCAATCACCTGCCTGGTGGTCTGCACCGCGGGGAGGTGGGAGGCAGTGGGAAATAGAGGAGAGGCTGGTTCCCCCAGGAGCTCTGAGCACCACGACTTGGGCATGGCTGCAAGCAGCTCCAGGCAGCAGGAAACAGCTTTATGCCCGCAGTCAAGAGTGTCAGATACTGGCACGGCCAGAACACTCCGCAAGCATGGACAGCGAGCTTCAGCTCTGGTGCGCTTGCTCTTGGTTACAACGCCGCGATGAGCCCCAGGATCTGGCCCACCCAGACACCTACCCTGACGGAGTTGTCCTGGCTGGAAGTGGCCAAAATGTTTTCATTGTCCGGGTGCCAGTCCAGGCCATTGATTTTAGAGAGGTGTGCTGCTAAGTACTCCACCGCCGTGCCTGGTTTCTGCAAGGAGGAAAAAGACGCCTTGAATCCTTCCACAAAAGGCAAGAGCAGAGCGACCGACGTGCCAATCACTGGCTGCACCAGCAGTTTTCAAAGCTTCTGCTTTGAGGGAACCTGCAGAGCCGGGGAGAATGACTGCACCCCAACCGAACATCAACTGACAGGAATGCCAACTGATAAGCCGTTGAACAGCCGGTAAGACTCAATTTAAGGCAGTAGGGTTCTGATGGCTGAAATCACAGTGAAACTTAAAAAGGTGCTTTCAGTGGCGATATACACCCCAAGACCATCAGGAAATATTTTACCAAAAATTACATACTTTACTCTTACAAGTGGGCTACCAGACTGTGTGTGTAATGGGAGATTTCAATGCAACTGTGGACAAGAAAATGGATCATAAGAGTGAGATGAAAGGAAACAAGGGCAGGAGGATACTCCCAAAGTCTTGTTCTAATATGATTGAAGAACTCAGATTGATAGATACTTGGAGGCATAAAAATCCAACCTCTGCTAAATATTCTTTTTACTCAGACAAAGGTCGTCGTCTAGAATTGATATGGTTTGGATAACCCTGGATTAGTACCAGACTTGCTAGAAGCTGAAATAGAAACAAATGCCTGGGCGGATCACAACCCTGTAGCTTTATCACTGAAAGGAACAGCAACGACACCCAGATGGAGCTTAAATAAAGTCTTATTAAAGGATAAAAAATTTATAGAAGAGATAAATAAGAAAATGCAAGTATTTTTTCAAATAAATAAAACTGAAGAAACCGCTCTACAAAATGTCTGGGATACAGCTAAAGCCTATGTCAGGGGATTGATAATAACATACTCAGCAAAAATAAACAAAAGAAAGAGCAAGAACGAGCAAAAATAGTAGAGGAATTGACAAAATGGGAACAAGAACTGCAGGAAGATCCATCTAAAAAAACCTTAAGGTCCAAATGAATATTTTAAAGCATAAATTGAATCTCTTGGACACAAATGAACTTACTATGCAAATGAAATTGGCCAAACAGAATTTTTTTGAAAATGCTAATAAACCAGGGAGCTGGTTAGCCTATAAAGTAAAGAAAGAGAGAGAGAAGAGACTGATTTCTAAATTGAAGGATGGAGAAGGACGACTACAAGTTCAAAGTATACATATTAGAAAATAGCGGAAGATTTTTTTACAAAGCTATATCAGAATGATGAGATCTCAACTGAGAAAGTAAAAGAATATATCCAAAAGGAAGATTTACCAAAATGACCAGAGAAATATCAAAAAGTACTGTATCAAGAAGTAACAACTATGGAAGTAATAGAGGCAATTAAGCGGCAAAAGAACGATAAAACTCCAGGCCCGGATGGGCTGCCAGCAGAGCTTTATAAATCCTTTGAAGGAGTCTTTGTTACGCTTCTTAAAGATATATGTAATGCAGCACTGTTAAATGCTAAAATACCAAATACTTGGACAGAAGCAAATATTACATTAATATCGAAAGAAGATATGGACTTAATGCAGATTCAAAATTATAGACCTGTATCATTATTAAATGTGGATTACAAAATTTTTGCCTCCATAATGGCAGAAAGATTAAAGAAGTTTCTAATAGACTTCATTCACTCAGACCAAAATGGTTTTTTGCCTAAAAGACAAATGAAGAAAAATTTGAGAACTATCTTGGATATCCTAGAGTATTATGAGATACATACGGAAAAACCAATGGCTTTATTATTTATGGGTGCACAGAAAACCTTTGATAATATCGGCTAGGATAATTAATGGAGAATTTACAAAGGTTATAGAGTTACAAAAGGGTACAAGACAAGGATGCCTGTTATCACCTCTGCTGTTTATACTGAGTTTAGAAGTGTTGAATAGAAATATCAGGGATGATGTGGACATTAAAGGTACCAGAATTAGAGATGAAAGCTATAAATTGCAAGCATTTGCAGATGACCTGGTTTTCATAACGGAGGAATCCTTTGCAACAATGCCTAAACTCCTACAAAAGATTGAAGAATATGGCGAGGTTACTGGGATGAAAATAAATAGAGAAAAGATGAAACTGTTAGTAAAAAAATTTACACAAGACCAGAGAAAAACTCTGCAGGAACAAGTAGATTTGCAGACTGTCAAAAAGGTTAAGTATTTGGGAATTTATCTTACAGCTAAGTGTACTACGCTGAAAGAAGACAATTATGATAAACTATTGAAGGATATTAAGAGTGATTTGGAAAAATGGGCTAATTTACAATTATCTTTGCTGGGAAGAACAGCACTTGTTAAAATGAATATATTACCAAAGCTTCTGTTTTTATTTCAAATGATTTCCATAAAAATTGATAGAACATTTTTTGATAATTTAAATTTTCAAATTTCAAGATTTGTATGGAGAAAGAAGAAACCAAGGATTAAATTAAAAATGCTTCAGGAAGCTAAAGAGAATGGAGATTTTGGTCTCCCTGATTGGATCTTGTATTATCAAGCTTCTGTTTTAACATGGTAAAAAGAATGGATAACTTTAAGAAATAAGAGAATTTTGTATCTCGAAGGGCATGATTTGCAAATGGGTTGGCACGCTTATATGTGGTATGAAAAGGGTAAGGTACATGGTTCTTTTTTAAGTCACTATATTAGAAAATCATTAATGTCGGTGTGCGAAAAGATAAAACTGTGTAATAAATTACCAAGATGGCTTTCACCCATGGAAGCTTTTGTGTATCCAAATGCATTGAATTTTGAAGGGATTATAAGATATGATGACATTTTGGATAAGGATGGAGGACTGTAATTGAATCAAGAATCACAAGAATAGGGAGCTGATATAACTTTGTGGCATAAGGTGCAGATACAATCGAGATATGCTAAAGATTGTAAAGTGTGGGGTTTTTATAAGGACTTAACAGCGTTTGATCAAGTGATGCTTAAAACAGATGAGAAAATGATTAAAAGATTATATGACTTCTTACTTGATAGGAAAATGGAAGATAAACAGGTTGAGGAAACTATGATAACGTGGGCACAACATTTTGAATATAATATTGAATTAGAAAAGTGGCAAAAGCTGTGGGAGAGAAATATCAAGGTAACATTAGCAACTTCGTATAAAGAAAACTTGTATAAAAAAATGCTTTATAGATGGTATCTGTTGCCAAATAGATTAGCTAAAATGTTTCCAAATATGTCAAATGGATGTTGGAAATCTAAACATAAATTGAGTACTTTTTATCATATGTGGTGGACTTGTGATGTAAAAAAAGTATTGGATTAAAATACATAAATGGCTGGAGGAAATGTTACAAAAATCCTTAGCTTTTAAACCTGAAGTTTTTTTATTAGGCATTATACCGGAAGACATTAGTAAACAAGAAATGTATCTGATTTTACATGTAATCACTGCGGCGAGGATTGCATTTGCTCAACACTGGAAAAGTGAGGAACCACCCACCAACGAACTGATCCTAAAAAAGATCCTGGACTGTGCAGAAATGGATAGATTGACTTTATCACTGAAGGAGAAAGAAGATACTGACTTCTATCAAACTTGGGACTCTTCTTATTACTGGCTAGAGAAACGGGACTTCATATAGATTTAAATATGGTTTTAAGTTATCATAAATAGAAAACAATGTGGGGGCTGACCCAGCAGGTCCGATGTTTCTGATGACTGATGTTGTTTTTAGTTTTCTTTTTGTTTTTTAGGATTATAATTTCTCAAATAAAACTTATTTAAAAAAAAAAGACTCAATTTAAGGGACTGCAGGTGGTGTAGTGATTTAAACTGCTGTGCTGCGGGGCTGGTAGATCGAAAGTTCGCCGGTTCGAATTTGCACAACGGAGTGAGTTCCCGTTGCTCCGTCCCAGCTCCTGCCAACCTTGCAGCTCGAAAGCATGCAAATGCGAGTAGATAAAAAGGTGCCACTTCGGGGGGCAGATAGCAGCGTTCCGTGCACCTCGGTGTTCAGTCATGCGGCCACACGACCACGGAGACTGTGTGCAGACAAGTGCTGCTCCTCGGCTAGGAAACGGAGATGAGCACCGCCCCCGAGAGTCAGGCATGACTGGACTTCACGTCAAGGGGAAAACTTTACCTTTACCAAGACTCAATTTAAAGGGATTTTAGTTTTCAGGATTTTAAAATGCTATGATTAGTGCTGGAGCACAAGATTCCACAAGACTGGACACGTCCAAGTTTATTTCCACCGCTGAAAGAGCGACTGACAGGGCTTGGAATGCCACACCATGTTTCACACTCTCAAACGCAGAGCGTGACGCTGGCAGCACGGAATGCGGGCAGCTGGCGGGGGGAAGAGGGGAGCCATGGAATCCCAAGGTCAGCGGGAAGTAGCTGGGAGGCGCGAGCCACGGCCTGCACAGCGAGGCTACGGAGCAGCCACGCACACCACTGCAGGCATGCCTGCATGTGCGCCTCGGCCCAGGACCCAGGCGTTCCTGCGGCTAAGCCCCGATCCAGGCTGTTTCCTGGGCACTTCTAGGCCACCTGTCCCATGGAGAGTCTGTGCTGCAGGGGCAGAACGCAGCTCCCCAGCAGCAGCGAGGGAAACGGGGGGGCCACGCGGCAGTTCATTGCTAAGCCAGGGCAACGCGGGGCTATCTACCGCCTGGCGCCAGCTGCAGGGGCTCAGGAGTGAGAAGGCCAGGGGGCCTCGCCGGCCTATGGCATCAGGGGGCACCACCCCCTACTTGGAGGGAAGGGCCACACCGACTCACCCGCTTATCCCAAATGCGCACATCCCCATCGTGGCTGGTGGCCAGGCAGCTGGCGTTCTTCTTGTTCCATTTCACCTGGGAGGCTCCGGCTGCACGAGAAGCAAGGTGCACAAGGTCAGCGCAGGTTTTCCAGGAATCAACCTCAGCAGGGCCACACGGCCACGCAGGTAGGACAACCCCAAGCAACTTCCAGGAAGCGGCCCACCCCTTACTTGGAGTCCACCCTGGGACCCCACACCCTGCCTGGCACAAGCAGCCAAGAGCAGACGTGCTCCCTCCAGCTTCTCAGAAGGAGCTGTCACCCCAAGCGTGTGCCGAACACACTGCCTCCGGATGCCACCCCGGGAGAAAGCGGCTCGCCTGCGGCCTGCATCTGCGGCTGTCCATTTTCGACCAAGTGGGAGGCACGACAAAGCCCAAGAGCAAGCTCCTGCCAGGCGCACAACAGCGCCCTTCATGCCCCTTGTGGAGGAGGAGCTCGGTGGTGAGCATGTGCTGCAGCCAGGCGCATTCTGCCCCTTGCTCCTGACCAGAGGTACCCCGAGCACCCCACTGCTGGTGGGCTGCCTTCCACCGGTCAGCTTCCTGTGGGGCTACCTGGGCAATCGACACTGGAAAAAGAGACCGCAGCAAGACTTCTTGCTAGAAACGGAGGAATCTGCTCCGCATTAAGACATCACCCACAACGGCAGGCAATCCAGCTCTCCTTCTCCCCGCCTTCATTTTGGATGCTCCTTTAGCATTATTCTACCACTGTATTGTCTGTTTTGCAAAATGCACCAGGTGCCGGCTGCTGAGAGGAGGCAGGCACGGGAATGTCGCTCCCCCAGAGCAGAGGCTCTTCGGGGAGACGGGAGACGCACAGGAACGGCTGCCAGGGGAGGAACAGCAGGTGGGCGGCGCAGCCAGCGCTTGAAAGGAGGAATCCCCTTACTTACCAACTGCAGAGAGTGAGACTGTTGGCTTCCGGGTGTCTCTGAAATATGGAATACAGGCATAAGGTGCATCCTCTCCAAAACATCCCTGTTCCCCATTATAGCTGGAGGCACACTTTGTTCTTGCACCTGAGAGTGCTTCCAGAGCCCCCAAGAATAAAGGAAACCCACCCTCAGAGATGCCCCCCCCAGGGCTTCTGTGGGTCCTGGATCGCTACAAGGCCTCTGTTGAGGTGGGGGGCATGCCCAGAGCTTTGCCTTTTATTTTTTTATATCCCTCAGTAAACGATGCTCTCTGGGTGGTCCATGGCAATTTCTCAAAGCATAACAAAAACTCCGCCCTGCAAGAATGGCCGATTCTCTCGCAGCGCTACCCCAGAAGCAGTGTTTTCCCTCCTAGCACAGCCGACTGGGGACAGAGCAGATGCACTCGTCCGCAGAAAAGGCTGACCAGGTGGCGGCCAGCCAGACCTCTGCTGCTCACTCACTCAGCTGACTTGCTCCTCATGATGCCCTGCCTGCACCAACCGCAGCCGAAGTGACCACGTTGCCCAGCTGGACGCTGGAAAGCTGCCTTCCATAATGGCTTGGAGCTTAACTGCGCTAATGAGGTAGAGCACCACCCCACCACAGATTTGGGTTCCTACGCCGTCTGGCTGGAGGCAGCCCCGCCTTGCCTGTTGTGAACAAAGCTCGGGTCACGGAGTCACCAGTGACAACCCATGATTAGCGACTGCCCCACCTTGCCTCAGCCACTCCCACACCCCAGAGGAGCTTGGGCCTCAAAGAACCTTCCTCTCCTTGGTAGCCTCTTGCTCTTACTTGATATCCCAGATGTAGATGTAGGTGTCGACTGAACTGGTCACCAGCAGATCTGGCTCAAAGACTGCCCAGTCCAAGTCACTAGGAAAGATACAAACAGAGCGGGGCTGGAGTGGACACACAACAGCAAGAGACCTCGGTCGTGGAGGCTCTGTGCTCACGAGAAGCCATCTTGCCTACGGTCAAGGGAAACACAATACATGAACAGCAAACGGTGGAAGGGTCCCTTTGCCCACTGTGACCTCTTCGCCACCCTCCTTCATCCACGAATAGGACATCTTTCCTCATGCGGCCTCACCGAGGAGTTTCTATGAAAAACTGAAGTGCCAACTCTCATCAAATACTTGTAGGGCACTTTAAGCGACACACCCTTTGCTTCCTGTCCGAGGTCATTCACAGGCTGGTGCATGTCTCTAGAAGGGTGGTTTTCAGACCGCCTACTATTGGAAGTTCTTGAAGAACAGGATCTAGGATGGGAGACAGATCTCCCAGAAAAAAGAATGCACCCTTCACAGTGTATCTTTTCCCTTAAAAATGCATTTGGGCAAGGGTTGAAAAATAGCAAGGAGGAACACCGAGTGAAAAACCCCTGGGATTAAGAAATCCCTGCCATAGCCAGTCTTCTGTTAATCTCTTCTCTCTTTGCCTTGGTATTTCGTTCCTCTAGCCTACGAGTATTACTTCACTGCCTCTGCTCTGTTGCAATGGCCAGTTTTAGAGGCTTGCATGGTCAGGAACCTGGAATGAAAGATCCATGAATCAAGGCAAGCTGGACGTGGTCAAACAAGAGATGACAAGACTGAACATCGACATCTTAGGAATCGGTGAACTAAAATGGACAGAAATGGGTGCATTAATTCAGATGAGCATCAGGTATATTACTGCGGACAAGAATCCCTCAGAAGAAACGGAGTAGCCTTCACAGTCAATAAAAGAGTAGGAAAAGCAGTACTGGGATACAGTCTCCAAAATGACAGAATCTCAGTTCAAATCCAAGGCAAACCGTTCAACATCACTGTAGTCCAAGTCTTTGCCCCAACCACTGGTGCTGAAGAGGCTAAAGTTGACCAGTTCTATGAAGGCCTACAACACCTTCTGGAATTAACACCAAAAAATGATGTCCTTATCATCATGAGGGATTGGAATGCTAAAGTAGGAAGCCAAGAGACAACTGGAATAACAGGCAAGTTTGGCCTTGGAGTACAAAATGAAACAGGACACAGGCTGGTAGAATTTTGTCGAGAGGATATGATGGTCATAGTAAACACTCTTTTCCACAACCCAAGAGACAACTCTACACATGGACCTCATCAGATGGTCAACAAAGAAAGCAGATTTACTATGTGCTCTGCAGCCAAAGATGGAGAAGTCAGTAAAAACTAGACCAGGAGCTGACTGTGGCTCAGATCATGAGCTTCTTGTTGCAAAACTTAGGCTTAAATTGAAGGAAGTAGGGAAAAGCACTAGGCCACTCAGGTATGACCTAAATCACATCCCTGATGAATGTACAGTAGAGGTGACAAATAGATTTCAGGAATTAGATCTGATAGACTGAGTGCCTATGGACGGAGGTTCGCAACATTGTACAAGAGGAAGCAACTAAAACCATCCCAAAGAAAAAGAAATGCAAGAAAGCAAAATGGCTGTCTGAGGAAGCTTTACATATAGCTGAGGAAAGAAGGGAAGCGAAAGGCAAGGGAGAAAGAGAAAGATACACCCAATTGAATGCAGAATTCCAGAGAGTAGCTAGAAGAGATAAGAAGGCCTTCTTAAATGAACAGTGCAAAGAAATAGAAGAAAACAATAGAATAGGGAGGGCCAGAGATCTCTTCAAGAAAATTGGAGATATGAAGGGAACATTTCATGCAAAGATGGGCATGACAAAGGACCAAAATGGCAGGGACCTAACAGAGGCAGAAGAGATTAAGAAGAGGTGGCAAGATTACACAGAAGAACTATACAAGAGCTTAACATCCCTGATAACCACGATGGGGTGGTCACTGACCATGAGCCAGACATCCTGGAATGTGAAATCAAATGGGCCTTAGGAAGTCTGAGCAACAACAAAGCTAGTGGAGGAGACAGTATTCCAGCTGAGCTATTCAAAATCCTAAAAAAAGATGCAGTAAAAGTGCTACACTCAATATGCCAGCAAATTTGGAAAACTCCAACAGTGGCCACAGAACTGGAAAAGGTCAGTTTACATTCCAATTCCAAAGAAGGGCAGTGCCAAAGAATGTCCAAACTACCGCACCATTGCACTCATTTCACATGGCTAGCAAAGTTATGCTCAAAATCCTACAAGCGAGGCTCCAGCAGTATGTGGACCGAGAACTACCAGAGGTACTGGCAGGGTTTCTAAGAGGCAGAGGAACTAGAGTTCAAATTGTCAACATACGTTGGATCTGGATCACAACAAATTGTGGCAAGTTCTTAAAGAGATGGGAGCACCAGACCATCTTATTTGTCTCTTGAGAAATCTATATGTGGGTCAAGAAGCAACAGTGAGAACTGGACACGGAACCACTGATTGGTTCAACATTGAGAAAGGAGTTTAGCAAGGCTGTATACTGTCGCCCTGCCTATTTAACTTATATGCAGAGCACATCATGAGAAAGATGGGCTAGATCAGGGGTGGGCAATTAATTTTCCTATGGGGCCACATGAGAAACTTTGACAGTTGTTAAGGGCCGGATCAATACACTTACAGCTCTGCTCAATATATATCTCTATAAAAACAGTAAATGAAACAAACTTTACAAGATGAAACTCAAATACTTTGGCCATCCAATGAGAAGGAAGGACTCCCTGGAGAAGAGCCAGAATGCTGGGAACAATAAATGGCAAAAGAAGAAGGGGACGGCAAAGAATGAGGTGGCTGGATGGAGTCACTGAAGCAGTTGGTGTGAGCTTAGGTGGACTCTAGGGATGGTGGAGGACAGGAAGGCCTAGAGGAATGTTGTACATGGGGTCGCGATGGGTCGGACGCGACTTTGCGACTAGCAACAAATGGTCAGGCACGGAAATAGAACACAGTACCAAATTCCTGCAATCACCTCTTATGAGGCACAGTTTGTTGTGTTGCCTGAACTCAGCAAGACTGGTGGGGGCAGGTATCCCTGGAATACTTATGTCCCTGACCCCCAAAGATCCTGCAGCAACAGGGCAAGCAAGAGGGGCCACCCAGAGGGCTGGAGAAAAGGAAGGGGCTAGGCTCTGAACTCAACAGTTGAGGGGCAGAAGCCCCGGTACCTTGAGCTGGCCCAGAAGACTGAGGAGTGCACTGGGGTACCCGGGGGGCATACCTGATCACACGTGTGTGCCCTTGCAAGGATGTGCCAACTTCCCCATGGCTGTCTTTCCATTTGTACAGGTCGACACGCTGGTTGCTCTGAAATTAAGCAGAAGATGCCAGAGTGGCTGCAGATTGCTTTGCAGCTACAGAATAGCTCCCCGGAATTTGAATATCCCCCTGCCATTTCAAAGCCAGGGCAGAGCCCTTGTCCCATGAACAGGTCCCATTAACGAGAAACAAGGCCCAATGTCCTGGCTACATCAGCCACTCCTGCTTTCTGAGTCTGGAGTGAGCTCCCCAAGGAAATGTATCCATGTTCCTTCTGTTTTAAGTTTTTCAGAAAGCAATCAAGGCATGCTGTTGATGAGCAGCCTTTGGGACACTAAATGCTCCATTGTTTTAGATGGGGGGCACAACTCATTGGCTGATCAGATGTTTCAGCCTACAATTCCCATCAGTCCTAACCAGAACAGCCAATGTTGAAGGAAGATGAGAACTGAAGGCCAATTTACCCACAAGTTGCCTATTCCTCTTTTAGATCATTCCCTCTATTTTAACGATTTCTTGGCTTATCTGCATTTTTACTTCAGGGTGTTTCATTGGTTCTTAAATGTGTTAGCTGCCTTGAATGTCAAAGGAAGTATTGCAGGGAGATGGGATTCCAAAACAAAGTATTTTGTTTCAGAGGAATGCTTGTTTTTGCCCAGAAGCAACGTTTATGCTTGCACTCAATAAGACAAAGACTCCCCCTTCTGAAAGGCCCCTGAACATTACAACTTTCCATTACCCTAAGCAAGCGTTGAAGATGTACACCCATCATTATTTGCAATTGCATCCATTCTACAGGTTGCCTGAACAGGAAGTTTTTTTTTTAACTGAGATTCCATTCTTGGCAGCTTTGCAAACTTATCCACTGATTAGCAAAGGGTGTTCCACATCAAACTTCATTACCTCCAACAGTTAAAATGAGATGAAATAGGATTATATGTAATCATATGCATAATTGTATTTATTAGTACAGGAGATTTTCCAATTCAGCCCTTCATTGTGGAATTGCTTTTGTTTTTTCCCCCTTCCTTCCTGTGCTTGAACTGAAAATTGATTGATTTGTGGCCAGACACGAAGACGTGCCTCCGTGGAGGTGGAAACGGCGTCTGGTAGAGCGACAGGAGATGCAGCTTCCAGGATTTAGGCAACTCATCCGCATGGTCGTAAGGGCTGCAGGGGAAATGGGGCAGCACTCCCTGCAGAATAATCTCAGAGCAAAGGATGTGAAGTTTTCCATTAGGCAGTCGTGATTCCTTCATTGCTTTCATTCACCTCCTTCGGCACTTTGTCCAGGAGCGCAGGATATAAATTTTTATCCACCCCCCCCGAATGAATCACCACCCTAGCCCCATTCTAACATGCTAGCTAGACACCGGCAGGGTCCAAATGGGGAGGAAATGTCGCAACAGGATCAGGGCCGGCATGGCGCTTACCGAAGCAGCAAAGTAGTGTGCGTGGCTGTCGTGGGGATTCCACTGCACGGCTCCAATGTCCCACTTACTCTGGCGAGAGATCTTGCGATGGCCTTCGGCAGGGGCGTCAAGGTTGACGATGTACAGGAAGCGGCGCCTGCAAGGCATGCGCAAACATGCCCATGCTACTCAGATGTCATTGCATGGGGAGGAGCCAGTGGGCTGCAGCACCGAGTTCCCAGCTCCAAACCAGACCCCCTTTCCTGAAGGGCTGCTGGAAGCCACTTTTTTCCCTTTAAAAAATTTGGGTTATTCTTACAGATGCAAAATCTGCAGGTAGCAAGAGGGCCTGCAATGCTGCACCTTCTCTCAGGTCTAGGAAGGAACGTCTCTGCAAAGTGCATGCATGCTGCGAGCACAGTATGTGCTTCAGAATGACTGGCTTTGCCTGCATGCCAATTTTAAGGACAAATTAATCAAACAGGCTGAAACTCACAGAATTAATCAACCGAGGTGTGCTTAAACAGGTGACAGTTCCCAATCCTCAAAACATGATCTACAGAACAGAAAAATGTCTATATGGAAAGGGGGAGGAGAGAGAAGAAAATGGGAGGGGGGAGGAATGGTCTCCTTGCACCCCAACACTTTCTACTGTAGAGGGGATACAAAATGCCCTCCCTCGCCCTGCAGAAGGGGCGAGCTGTTTCCATGAGACTAGGCCCCAATTCCAGCAGGAGCTGACTGGCCTTGCAACCAGTGGGTTGTTTGCTCCATGCACACAGCCCCAGCCGAGCCTGGGTTTTCATTACATGTGAACAAGATCCTTGCATTGCCCAGCACAGCCCTCTTGACTCCCCTCTCCCACTTTTTTGTACTGGTTCCCTCATTTTAGAGCAGCTTTTTTTTCTGTTGGTCGAGCACAGTTATGTTGGATCTCTCTAGCGATCTACCACCTAGGTGTATATTGATTCTGACAGCAGTGTAGTCGCCGTTTCCAATCCGTGCAGCAACATTTAAAGAGGAAAGGGGAGGGGGAGGAGGTCATCACCGTGAAGAGGAAGAGTCTGCTGTGCTAGTCACAGCATGTTGCTTCCCTGCAGGAAATACAAGCGCTAAACCTTGAACCAGGTCTTCATGCAGCTGTGCTGGCCAATTTTAGAGCGTTGTGCCTGAATTCCTGGTCTCTGCTAACGCAGATGCAGATCTGGAGTTGTCTAGGCAGGCCATCCAAGTGTTTGGCTCATGCCCCTAGAGACACCGCTTTGCAGCTCGGGGTTCCAGGGGAAACAGCGCTTCTTGCAAGCCTGGTGCCTGCCTGCCCCATTCATTAAGGAGGATGGGGCAGGGCAGTTTGAGGAAAAAGGCTTGCATAGCAGCCAGAGGGAAAGGGAAAGCATCCACTAAGCAGACAGAGTGGCGAGTCTCTGGTCCTCACTGAGCTGCATAGCTGAACAAGGATTTGACCGTGAGTCACCTTGGTCCAAACCCAACACTGCGATCACTATGCCGGTTTCCCAGCATAAATCAGGGAAAGCTGAAGGTGACGCAAGTTAAACAGAGCCACATTCAAGACAGCCACCCCTCTGCTTGCACGAAGAAGCTGCCGTGGCCACGCCCAACGGGGCCTACTCCAGGCCAGGCTGATGCAGAATGTTCCAGCAGGATACCGGCCTCACTGTGGGCCCCATGGGGCAGATCCAGATGCTGGCCGAGAGCACTCGTAGGCTCACATTCCCCAAAGCAAAAGGACACCACAACCCCTGTGGTGGGATCCAGCTAGATGGGGTTGCTCTCAAAAACGTCCCACACAGAATGCCCTGAATGAAGGCGACTGCGGCAAGAAATCCACCATGCTGGTGGAAGACAAAACCAAACCACCAAAGCCTGGTCTCCTTTCCCAAGAAATGCTACTTTCACCCGTGCAGGGATCATTCGCACAGAGTGAGGCGCTCCCAGTCGTACAAACCACCTCATGGGGTCTAGAAATGGGTTGCCCCACTCCTCTGCAGATTGCAAGACCTGGACCCCAGTTTACTTGCGCGCCTGGTATCAGAGGCTGAAGGCAAATGCTCCGGTTGCTTTCTGACCTCGCCCGATAGCCCTGCCCAATAAATATTTCATCTGAAAAGCTGGCATCTACCATGCATGGGATACACACTAAAAACAACCATTTCCCAAGATAAGCAAGCAAATGGTAGATGGCACCATGCAAAGGTAGCGTTGAATGAGACATTTACCGCAGGGGTCACCTTAGGAGTAATTTTGTCACATCAAAAGGAAACATGAGAGCTGAATCTAAGTGTCACTCGGAGAAGATGTGTGGATAAAGATCATGCACCGAACTAATTAAATATTCAGAGACAATCCTGGGGAAAGGCTCTGTGCACTTCTGCTATAATTAATTCAAAGTATCTGCCAAGAAAAGTGATTTCTTCCAGCTGTATGTTTAAGCATATTGTTAGCAGCAGCGGCAGCACCTTGCATTTTTCCCACTTGTGAGGAATCCAAGGCCGCCTACACAGCTCTGTTTGTACCCTTGCAACAACAGGCTTGTGAGGTGAGTCGGGCTGAGAGTCTGTGACCTGCCCAAAGGCACCCAGCGAGTTTCACGGCCAACATCCACTAACCACCACACCAGCGCCCCTAAGTTGGTCAAAGCAGTAAAGCAGGAAGCACAAGAAAACCATCAAAGTATTAGCCTGTTTTTTCTTGATTTTCATAATGTGCTACAGTTTTGCTGGACACAGGGAAGAGGAAAGAGTTCCCCAGCACTATTTGTAATTCACCGAAATCTGCAGTCACTTCTGTGGCTCTGGAGATTTCTCTATGTATTCACCAGCAGTCACAGGGACTAGAAATTTCCTCTCATATAAAGGCAAAACTGCCATTCTCAGAAAGCTAAATTCTGTACCCATTATAATGTTATGTTTTCTGCACATCTTCAGAAAAGGGGCACATATGCAGTCCCATCTAAGTGCTTTGGAGAAAAAAGCGGCAAAAGGGCTTCAGTGCAAACATGATATCCCAAGTACAGACATGAGGCATACTAGTGGAATCCCAAGCCTTCATGTCACCAACCAATGTCTGCACAGCATGTTTGGGATTCTCATGGAAAGCAGCAGCAGACGGGAACAGAAAAAAGCACGTAGGTGAAGCTGGAAAAAAACACACACACAAGGACATCAGCTAATCAGATCAGCAGAAGTAGAAGGTCACTGGCTGAGCACACCTAGATATAACCAAGACAGGATTAGGGATAAGGCAGAGAAAGACTTCAGGCATCAGTGGTGTGGGAGAGGGGCGTGTGTGCGTGCCTGCACAGTGCTAATTGCAGACTTCAAGGCCCTGCAGAAGGCACTTTATTTCTGATCTGGGCAGCAGGATAGCTTTTACCAATCTAAAATTGTTTCTAGGCTACCTTTAAGAATGGAAACCTAAGACAGACTGAACCACTAATGTGTGCACTAGGCCAGAGGTGCAAAACCCCAGGAAGGGGGCCCAATCCTGTCCCCTTGTGGCTGCCCAGATGGCCATGTTCCCTTAACCGGCTTCCAGCCCTTTTCCCCAAGCAGCAATTCATTTGATGGTTTACCAGCTTTTGTAGATTTCCTCCTTCCTAAAAGTACCAACTACCCCTCCCAAAGCCGAGCTCCTGGCAATGTGCTCTTTAAGCTAAAAGAGGCCGATATTTTGGCCCCATCCTTCTGCCATCAGCCCCACCCACCACCAGAATAGTCCCCAAAAGCCTCGCCTAAATGGAACTGGGCCCTTCGACTGCACGAAGTTCAACACACCTGCGCTAGGCAACCCACTCACACCTTCAACAAGCAAAGCAGCAGCATGTGCTGGGGAGAAAAGTCCTTCTCCACAGGCTGGATGACGATTACGCAAAAGCCGCTGCCACAAGGTCTAGCAGTACGGCGAGCTCAGGCAGCTTCCGGTAAGGATTACAGCCACTGGCTGAGCTGGATGCAAGGTGCAGTCCAACACATCTGGAAGGCACCAAGTGGGGGGAAGCTAGACTACCAAACTGGAGGAGGACAGGTCCTGTGGAACTTCCATGCTCAGAAGCAGTGTATCTGTGAACATAACACTGGGGAATAGCTGCTGCCTTTGTGCCCTGCTTGTGTGCTTCCCAGAACACTCACTGGCTTGGCCACTGCTGAAAACAGCTCAGTGGACTAAATGGATCCGGAAGGAAGGCACTATCCATACTTCTGTCCTTGAGTTCACATTATAAATTCTTTTCTCTAGAGATAACATGAACAACTAAGAAGGGGAAGCAGAATCTGTGAAAAATGCTGGCAGTGATTCTGCCTCTGCCTGCCACGGCCGGCACCAAGGACCGGCCCTGCACCTTGAGCACTGGCTGCCAACCTAGCCCACGGGGTTTGGCACTCACCCAGAAAGCACTGCATGCTGTCCCAGGCAGTCCACAGACATGGCCGTCGCCTGCAAAAAGAACAGAGAGGAAAAGAGAAAGACGTCGGCTCTCTTCGCCTTATCCCAGATTATCAAACAACACTCAGCAGGAAAAGGAATTCTCTTTCCATTCCCCACAAATGTTAGGTGAGGGTAGTCATAAATAATAACGAGATTTCCACGGTCATTTCTTTCTGCATTTAATTTCTTTCTGCTGTTCACATCTCTCAGCTCAGTTAACGATTCTGCCCTCTTGATGATCACATATAAAGTACATATGCCCCTAAGCCTTGATAACGCTTCATGCGCCCAATGAGGTGGACCACTGCCAGAATACCTGTGCCTTCAAGGTGACACAGGGGCTTCATGGTTTCTGCTGCAACAGATTAATATGGCAGCCAAAAGAGAAATGCAATCAGTCCAAGACAGGTGAGCATTAGTTTGAAATAAGGGACACACTTCCTAGAAGTGCGTCCTGCTTACTAGAATCACAGAATTGAAGGCCATTTTAGGCTGGCGAGACCAAGCCAATGCTCAGTGCAGGAATTCAGTCCAGGGCATTCCAAATGGATGGCTGTCCAGTCTCAGCCAGAGTACCTCCAGCGAGAGTCCACCACCACCAGCAGGCACCAATGCCTCGACTGCTCTGACCATCCAAACATTGTCCTTAAGGTTCTCTTGAAATCTGCCCTCTTGACACTCAAGCCCATTATTTGTGTCCGACACTCTTGAAGGAGAGAGACTAGGTTGCAGCCCTTTTCTGCATTATGACCCTTGAGAAGTATTTGAGAAGTCCGGTCACATCCTTGCTTAGTCTTCTCAAAACCAAACATACCTAGTTCCTGCCATCTTTCCTCATAGGACTTAATTACTAGTTCCTTGGTCACCTTTACAGCCCTTCACCAAATTCCTCCCAATTTATCTCAAGCCTTCTTAAAATGTGGTGTCCAGAACTGGATGCAGTATTTGAGAAGCGCGACCAGCACAGAGCAGAGGGGAATTATCATTTCCTCTGATTTTGAAACTAAACTTCTATCAATGCAGCCTAAAATTGCATTTGCCTTTTCTGCAGCCACCTCACACTGCTAACCCATAGTCAGTTAATGAATGACCACATTTCCAAAATCCTTTTCACACATCCTATTGCCAAGTCAGCTACATTCTTTTTCCTGAACTAGAAACTTGTCTCTGCTGGATTTCAGTGCTGTTTCTGTTCCGTTCAAGCATACCCTCAAGATCATGTTGAATTTTGTCTGTCTTCCCAGATAATACCTTCCAAGACATTGGATGTGTGTATCATCTCCATCTGGATTGCCACACCACTTGTTCCAAGTCACAGAGATGCTGAAAGCTCCTGGATCCAGGACAGAGCCTCTGGCACACCACTTGGTATCTCCCTGCAGTCTGAGGAAGCATCACCCATGTGCACTTTGAGTACTGCCAGCTGTGGATCTTCAAGACTTCACTTGGTTGCTGATCTGAATTATCATGTAGCTCTTTGCCAAATGAAAGCCAGAAAGCAAGTGTGTGGCATTTCCGTGAGCTACTAAAGGAACTACTCAGTCAAAGAATTAAATGAAATTAGTCTGGCAAGACCTGTTGACAAACCTTTTCCTGACGTTGAGGACTCAAGCATGAAATGGTCACTTTCTCAACTCAGTCCCAGCTAGTTTCACCTCATCGCCTAACTAGGGAGTAAGTTGCACTGATGTGATTGGGATTTACTTCCCTTTGGGTATGAATAGAAGTGTATTGCACTGTAAGGTAAACAGCAGGTTTGGGAGCAGGAAAAACAAAGGGATGCATGCTTCCCAATCTCCAGAGTTCTTTGGACTTAACTTTTACTCTACATGCTTAAATCTAAGTACTATGAACTTAAGTGCTTTATGGACTGCAGCTTCTCCTCACTGCCGAAACACAAAATGTTTTTTGGCCTTTTTGCCCCCCACCCCGCCGCACACCTGCTCTACCTCACAGGGTTGTTAGGAACACAGAATGGAAGACCCCTAGTTATGCCTGCTTGCTGAGCTGCTTGGAGGAAAGTCAGATACATGTGTGATAGATCATTGATAAGATTTATCAGGAGTCTTGCCCTTTCTTCCAACTGAAGGAGGGATGGGGGAAAGGCCGGGGGTGCAGGGAGACAAGGAAGGCTGCTGTAAAGAGCCCTGCAGGAAAGGAGGTCACTCATCCCGATCCCAAGCACTGCTGTCTCAGGCAGCAGCACAGAAACCTCCCTCAGCCTGAAGGCGGAACTGAGTCTCCAAGATGCTTGTGGGAGCCACATTCCTGTGGTGGGTGCAGCTGAAGCCAAAGAGGCAGGGTCGAAACAGGAGCCTATTTTAGCTGCTGTAACTAAGAACAGGCAGTTCAATATTTAAGAAAATGACACCAAAGTGCAGAAACCAGCTGGAGATCAGTGTTGGGGGAAGGGGCAGGGCCATGTGCCAAACCCTGGAGAACTGAACCGAGCCCCCAAAGGACAGGTTACAACCCCTGGGCCAGGGGCTCCCCACCCCAAACCTGCAGATCCTGCCCTGCCACTTCTGAATATGGGGGCTTCATTTGCATCACAAGCCACAACTCCGGACTGACGCCTCTCCTGGCAGCAACAACTTTCATTTTGGTGAGGCTGGCTGTTAAAAGTGATCCCATCCTGGAGCAAACTGCCTTGCTGCAAATCAGCAGTGAATTAGCACAGGCAGCTGGGTTTACCAGGGCCTGTGGGTGACGTCCCTAGAGAAGCACAAACAAACCTGCTCTGCAGAATCAGTAAACTTTATGTGAAGAACACGGGAACATTGAAAGTTGCTGCAGGCTGAGCCAGAGCCTTGGTCCACCTAGTCCAGAAGAGTGGCACTGAATGCCAAGCATTCAGGCAAGTGTTTCCAACTATCCCTGGAGCTGCATAGGGATCGAAGGGAACTTCTGCAGGCGAACCTGAGGTTTTACAACTCCCAATAGCTGTCGGCTTGCAATGAGATAAAAGAAATGCATATAAAGGCCAGCGACTGGCCAGAAAAGAATGAAATGCCACCCTCCAGCTTCTTCTTGCTGGGTTGTCACACTGCAATGTGACAGACTAGGTCAGTAGGTAAACACGACAGCTGTTGGAAGAAGTGGGGTGGGGGTGGAGGGGGAGAAAGATGAGCTCTGTTTTGGAAGGAGAGATGTCAGCATCAGCCAGGCTCCAGGGCTTGGCTTTCTGGGAAGGATTTCTCCGTGACCTCTGAAATGCTGCCCAGAGCACAATAGCAGCAGAATCCCCTTTTGCTGGGCCCTTTGCATCGTTCAGAGTTGCTCCCATTACAGGCATACCTGAGAGGAGGCATGCCAGTGAAACAACGGCAAAACTGGGGAGGAATACAGAGCCATGGGCCTGGACAGCATTCCGGAAACTCTAGAGACATTTTCAGGGTGTGGCATATTGTCTGCTTTTGAAAGATCATCCACTGGACTAAGAATTTGGAAAGCAGAGGTCTAGCTGCTAAGGTCTGTACATTGTCAATGTTTGCCCAGGCTGTGCTGGTCACTCTCTCAATCAAACAATTTTCAAGGCATGTTCCCTCTAGTACTCCAGGTAAAACTTCCCCAGTTGGCTTCACCTGGCCTTTTTAAAGCCTACACCAGCTTCTAAAATTATCTCTTTCCTAATAATACAAAGACTGTATTTTCCTCTGTGGTCCCCTGGTAAAAAGAATCTGCATGCTTCACCTAGTATGGGGAACACTGCTGAACAAAGCTGAATTTTATATTCGCATAACCGTGGGAATGCAACATTTCCACTTCCTAGGTCCCAGAAGCCCAAGGACAGCTGCAGGTCCTTTCCTGAAGCTATCACAGGCCTGCTGGGTTTTGCTTGAACGCCTTCAGCTCTCTTTCTGCCTGCCCCCCTGCCACCTTTCCATTCTGGGATGCTGGACAGGTACACAAAGCGACTTCAGCAAAGTGTTTTTTCTTTCCCTCTTTCTTTCCCTCAAATTGTTTGCTTGGGGGCCTTTTGAAGCAACATCTTGCCTAGCACGCAGTTCTGGTGATCTCAGAAGCTTGCACCTTGTGAGGGAAGGGAAGGGGGAGGTTCGCCTGCAGACCAACAAGACAAAAGAATAATGAGACTATTCTAAACTGGCAGGCAAACTGACAACAGATTATGAATGGTTTTTCACAAAACCAACACAGCACTGGGAAAAGGATGATGTGGAGCACAGCACTACATTCAGAAGGATGCTTGCAATCCTCCTTTCAATAGCAGATTACCCTGGCATGCTCAGACAAAGACCATACCAAGATGCTGTTACTCAATGATGTAAGCAAAAAGGTAGGTCCTCTGACTTACAAATGGAAATTATTTCACCAACTGAGTGGATCTGACAAAAGAATAGAAAACTGCTTTGCAGACTGTATTATTCTCAGTACAATCTAAACTCCCAGCATTAATAGGATAACACAGACATGAAAGCACTTCACCAAATGCCTTAATAGAGTGTACTTTAAAGCAGGGAAAATAGAGCAACTGTCTAAAACTATCAGGAAACCACAGATTAAAACGACAGAAATCAAGGATAAGGATCACCACCTACACATGAGAATCAGAGGGAGGAAGAGGAGGAAGGCCCACAGATGGCTGGTTATGTAGTAAGCCAGGCTAACAAAAACTCTCTAAATACTTTCATGTCTGAAGGACGCAAGAGTGCATTTCTTGGTATACAAAGAGAAGAAATATTCAGAGCACTACCCAAGTTATGCTGCGTGCAGCCCAGAGGGAAAGAGGACTGATTTTTCAGGCCTTAAGGCAGAATACTTTGCAAAGGAGGCGAGCTTCTGACCTTTTACAGAAGTGCTAAGAAATGCTGAAATAGCCTGGAAGTAAAGATATTCCTTCAAGCTGCAAGTGAGAAAAGATGGAAAAGTGCTTCCTGCAGCAACTAGAAAACAAGCAATTGACCTTTTCAGGAACTTGGATTAAAATGCCAGCAACTTCCAAAAATGACTGGAGAAGTAAATGAAGCTTTATCTGATCCTGATATCCTAAAAATAATGAAGAAGGAAATTCAGCCAGGAGGAACCAGAAAACTAATGTGGTATAGTGGTTAAGACCATGTGTCTGGGGCTCAGGCAATCTGGGTTCTAGTCCCTGCTCAGCGGCGGAGGAGTTGGAAGGTCACCTCTTATCTGGCCCAACAAAAAAAACTGTTTGACAACCGATTGCATCTTAATTTCCAAAGGTATGTTGCCAATGGACATTGGAGCTGACAAAGGTAACCTAACAGTATCAGATTTTGCTCTACTTTGTCTCAGGACTAACTCCTAATGCTTAACTCTTGAGAGACCACAAAGTCACCCCCATTACATCAAGGCTTAATGCTCATTGCTTACCAAGTCAGAGATAATAGACACAATAAGGGAAAAACAATAAATTATTTTTTCACAGAGACCCCAGCATGAAGAAATGTGGGCCATGAAAGCAGTGATTCAGTGAATATGAACAAACGAGGCAATTAATTTAAATAGTCAGCCAAAACCATGGCCGCAAAAGTGAGTAATACAGCAAAATTAGGGTGTCTGCATAAGCAGGAAACAAAGGGATAGAGATTATTAATTAATAAAAGGAGCAAAGTTGCAAGCAGCTCACATAGGAAAAATTCAGACAGCCATGGCATACATCAGTTACTATGCCATGGAATTACTATGGAGTTGGAAACAAAAGCTCAAAATTCCTGGCAAGAATCTTACAAAAAGGGCTGAACAGTTGGTCTATTTCAGATATTTAAAAAAGATAACAGGGAAACACAGAACCCAAAGGAAATATGTTCTCAAAATTTTATGAAAATTTATATAGCAAGAAGCCATGATTCTAAGCATGAGGCCACCATTTCTGAGTCACGGGAATTTCTGAAATCAGTTCACTGCAGAAAAAGATACAGGCAGTGATAGGCAATCTGAAAAATGGAAAGTCTCTGGGTTACATGGATTTACAAATGATTTTACAAGAAATCTGAAGAACTATTGATACCATAGATACAACACCTGTTTAATTCTATTCTGGAAGGAGAACCTATACATGCCTTTTTTTCCAAACCGACGTCTGGATTGGTAGTTGCCCCGAAACCAGAGAGGGGCTGTAGCTCTGGAAGCTCATACCATCCCACTGTAATTGTTAAGCAAGATGCCAATATATTGACAGGAACCTTAATAATTTCATAATTTAAGTCAAGACAGACCAAACAGGATTTATGGCTAAAAGGTATATAACTGATTATATTAATAAAGTACTGAACATCCTAGATTGGGTTATTGGATTCTGGTAGTTTTGCTTTTTTTTTTTTTTAGAAGCCTTTAAGGCTTTTGATAGACTTGAATGGTTTTTCTTCATCAAGACACTGCAAATATTAGAATTTGGCCCCGATTTATGAATTTTATTAGGCAGCTATACTCATAATCCACAGCCAAGGTCAAAGCAAATCCCAGACACGACCTTTTCCAAATTATACAGAACAAGGTTGACCATTATCTCCTTTTATTTGCTATACTGATAGAAACATTGGCAGAGTCAAGCTGTAATCATACAAACATTCAGGTAGTCTGAATTAATAAAGACGCTCACGCTATAAACCTGTAAGTGAATGACATTGCTGATGGTCTCAATTCAAATAGTGCTATCCCAGAGTCTAGATTAACACTATCTGACCATGAGAAAATTACAGGATTAAAAATAAAATACCTTAAATTTGAGTTGAATGTGACAGAGGAGGAACAAAAGGGGCTACAAACCATCTCCAGACTAACTTTGCAGACCTCCAGGATTAAATATTTATGTATAATAATTCCAAGAAACATAAAACAACTTTGTAAATGCAACTTCAATCCATTATATACAACTCTTAAGGCTGACTTCAATTTCTGGAAGCAGCTGAATTATCCTGGCTTCATAGAATGGCTTCCATCACAATGATGTATCTTCCTAGATGCTTATTTTTTTCTTTCAAAAATTCCTAGTTGAAAACACTTCTAAGTTCCTTAAAAATGGTAAAACGTTATGGAAATGTTTAACACTTGTGATTTTAAAAAAATGCTCAAAAGTTAAAACAAATGCACTCTAGGCAAACAAAAATTGGGGCTTTAGCTTTCCTAATTTAAAATTTAATTACAATTTCTTTCAACTTAGACAGGTTACGTCACTAAGGCAAATTAACTGCACTTGCATTGGCATGGCAATAACAGAAAAAACTTTGCCTTAATGCAGCACAACTTTCTTTATGTTCTTAAGAGCGGGCTTCCCAAGCCTGGTGCCTCCCTGAGGATGTTGGGACTACAAATTCCATCACCAAAGCCAGCATGGCCAGCCTTTTGCAACCTGTTCAGGAAATGGCACTTTCCACTGACAAAACACCGTTTTTTGTAAACCGTTTAGAAACTCTAGTACTGGACGTCATAAAAAGACTTTAAATAAATAAAATACCAGACACGGCAGGATTTCCTAGCTTCATGAAATAGAAACCGCCTTAGAGCCTAGCCAAAGACTTGACCCATTACACTCGGTGTTGTTTTGAGGGTGCTTCCTCCACCAGGTGTCCTCACCAGGTGTGCTGGCACTACAAACTCCATCATCCCCAAGCAGAGTGGCAAGTTTTCCCAGACCAATATCCTCCTGACCTGTGGGGACTATAACCCCTCCCAGTCTCCTCCAACTTGGCAACCTGGGATCTCAATCCCCATCACCCCCAGCCCACAAGCTGCCTCGGATGGTAACAGCTGCAACCCAACATATCTAAAGGGCCCCAGCTTTGCTGCTAAGAGCCCACAGCTGCAAAGGCTACCCTGAACCACAGGGCCCGGGGTGTCGTGATGAGAGTACCAGACAGGGCCTCAGGTGCTGGCTGAACTGAACGGGACGGCGCATGAAGACCCCCGGGTGACGCTGGCCTACCTCGCAAGGTGGCTGTGAGAATAAAAAGGGGGGGGAGATTATGCAAGCTGCCTCAGCTCTCCTGAAAGACTGAAAGGAGCAGGGTATAAACGTAGTAGTAAACATCGGCTTCTGGCCCTCCCCCGGCCACGACTCTAAGCCTGGCCTACCTCACAGGGTTGTTGTGAGGGCGCAAACGGAAAAGAGGGGTTCCTGCCAGCCGCCTCGGGCTCCCTGCGGGAAGAAGGGCGGCGGGCAAGGCAGCAGGGAAGTAAACAACCCGGCGCTTACCTGCGAGTCCCGGAACTCCACCACCACATTCTCGCTGCTCCAGCGCGCCGCCATCTTGAACCACCCAGAACGCCGCCGGCGAGCGTCGGAAGAGGCCGGCGCGTGCGCCGCGCGCTCGCAAAGCCTGCCGGGAGATGTAGTCTTAAAGCCCCCGGGGAGGATGACGGGAGCGGCTCGAGTAAAGACTGCGAGATGGTAGCTCGCCTGCGAGTTTGGGTTTTCCCTCCTTTTCCCCCTTATCAGCCGAATATTCAGCTTCGAGAATAGCAGCTGGTAACCCTGCCTGGAAACCCGACGCTTCTCTGTGGGAAGGTGCTCTGCACGCGCGCAGAGGCTAGAGTCTTCGCCAGAAAAGCAGAGCTCATGCCGTGCACAGCGGGATTTCCCATGTTCGCAAGAAAGCTGTCCTAGATCCCAGCCAGCTCGTTCTGGGTTGTCTTCAAGCCGCCTTCCTCAAACGGGAGCCTTCTGCAATGAAGGACTACAATCCCATTGTCCACAAGCAGCATGGGCTGGACCACCCAATGGCTTTCTGTGCTGTAGGGACAGTCCATAGGGCACTGTAGCAGCCCGGTTCCCATGGATGGATTCTCAGCTGAGCCCCTGTCTTTAGAAACAGGCTCTGGAATTAAACCCTGGTGGTCCTGGGGGCACATTTTAGGCCCTGAGGATGAGGGCCCTTGGATGAAAGGAGATGGGAACTGACTTTACTTTTAGAGCAGTGTTTCCCAACATGGCGCCCTTCGAAATATTGGATCCATAGTCGGTGCCCTCTGAGGGGGCTTTGGGAGGGCTGTTTTGAAGTGTTTTTGTGAGACTCACTGATCAGAACCTGCTTCCCAGCTGGAACGAGGCACCCACTGACTCGTGCAGAGGCACAACGGATAGGGCCGATCCCTTCCATGCCAAGCCCCTCTTGCACCTCACACAGAAGAAGAGAGATCAAAAGCACTTGTTGCCCGATGTTGCTGGCCTTTCGCACCCCACCCTGGTTTACCGCACAGTGCAATCTTGGTCAAAAATTACCGAATTATCCCCACTTTGATCAGATTTCCCGAGCTAATGAGGTGCTGTGCAAATACGGAACAAAGCAGGAGACACCGCACTGGGTGTGGGGCTGGTAGGAATAACTAATTCGCACAAACGACGTGCAGCAAGGAGGTGCCAAAGCTGCACGCTGGACCTCGGGCTTCAGTGCATCACTTCGCTGCTCGGTAGACCTACCCAGAGTCAGGCTCTGTGCTGTTCATCCAGCAATAAAGGCAAATGGTCCCGGCACCCTGGATGCTGCTGGCGCTTCTCAGACTGCGTGAGCCCTCGAAGTGTGTGCCATTATGTGTGACAAGGGCTATTTTTAGAATTCTCCTGGGCATACAAGTAAGACCGGAACAAGAGCATTTATAAATCAGGCAGAAGGGGGCCTCCCTCCCCTTAAGAATTCCCAGGTGAGCCTTAAAAAGGATCGTTTTCTTGTCCTCTGCACAGAGGTGACTGCGTGGTCCCGCGGGGATCTGCACTGGGACCAGTGCTTTCCAGCTTGCTCCTAAATGATCCAGAATTGGGAGTGAGCAGTGAAGCGGCCACATTAGCTCACGACAGCCAATTAATTAGGGTGGGTAAAACTAAAGGGTATGAGGAGTTCCAAATGGATTCCTCCGAAGTGGGAGAATGGGCAAAATGGCAAATGTGGTTCAAATGCAGGCAGGGCAAAAGAGCCCGACAGACAGACAACCCACTGCGTCCTAAATCAAGGATGCCAGAACCTTCCCTAGAAGCAAAAAGGGCAGAACTGAAGCTGTTGTACTTTAGGCATGTTGTGAGAAGGCAAGACTCCTTGGAGAACACGATCATGCCAGAGAAAGTCAAAACAGGCCAAGTAAGAAACGGACTGACTGCATGAAGCAAGCCACAGCGTTGAGTTTACGAGAGCTGAGTGGGGCAAGTGGTCTCCTAATTCTAGAGCCCAGTGGCGTCCTCCCATGGAGCGGATTAGTGGCAGGTTTAGGACTGATAAAAGGAATGGCTTCTTCAGAGTGCATACTTGAACAATGAACCACTTGCTCCTGCAGTGAGGAGCAATTTGGATGACTTCACAAGGAGATGGGTTACAAGGGTGGAGAAGGTTTGCCGTCCAAAAGAGCCTTCGGCTGAGGCACAGGGACACAAGCTTGGACCCATGAAACTAGCACGGTTCTTCCATGAGGAACCCCGGCACCAACGCTGCCCTTCTCCGAGTTCTGGCAAGCCATGAACTATTTTATCATCCTGAAGCCACAGTGGAGTCCTGAGCCACTAGGAACACCTCTTGCAACATCTAAGAACCACCTTGCCCTCTCCAGCTCCAGTCCTATGCACACTTACCTGGGAGTCAGTCCCACCAGCCTTTCCCCAACTTACTCCAGAGGGAGCCTAGCTTAAGACCGGGTCGTTGCCATGGCTACCATCAGCTTCCCACCACTACCTTGCAGCCTAAACCCGCACAAATTGGGTCAGAAGCAGGTCCTACCGAATTTGGTGGGATTTACTCCCAGGTGCAGCCCTGCAGGTGCGTCTACTTGGGCCATCAAGCTGCTCCCACCTGTGGCAAAATCCTTTGGCAGCCCGCCAAAGCCAACGCGTCCCCCTCTTTCACAGCCCTGCTCGGCTCCTGTCGGCTCCAGGCTGTGGCGTCCTTCAGAACCAGTCCATCTCCTATTTGTCCTTCCTCATCCTCTTCTGCCTTCGGCTTTCCCCAGCACCTTTGTCTTCTACGGTGACAATCCAGTGTCTCTGCCTGCCTGCTCTGATGTGCCTGAAGTACAACAGCTGCAAGATTTTTGCTTCCAACTTGGAAGTGCTGAAACTGCTGAAGACTGAGCTCCGTTAGCCATGGACTGAGCAATGAGAAAGGTGCTTTCACTGTTATGATGATTCTTAATGCATTTATACCCTGCTTGTTTGCTCTTATGCAGAGCTGGAGAGCCAGTGTGGTTAAAAGTGCAGGCCTGATGCTCCAGTGACCTGGGCTCTAGTCCCCACTCAGCCATGGTGTCAACTGGGTGACTTTGGCTCAGGCTTGGGCTCTCAGCCCAGCCTACCTCACAGGGTTGTTGTGAGGTTCTACAACCAAAATAAAAATAAGATTATGAAGAGGAGGAGGAGAATTATGTATGCTACCTTGAATTCCTTGGAAGGAAAAAAGATGGAATATAAATACAATGCATTAAAATGGTGAGAAACCCAAGGCTCAGTCTTATCCATTTCATGATGACCACAATAACTCTTTCCGGGCTGCAAGCGTTAACTGGTTCACCAATGCTTGTTATCTCCCAACAGCATTTTGCGAATGCCAAAACCAGGATTAGTGTACCGAGCGAACCGGGACACGCAAAAAGGGACCTCTCCACATGTTTTCCGCGCGATAGATGTTACGGATGTTCGGAGTGGGGGACGAGCCGTGGCGGAGCAGGGGCAGCCTCGTCCGCTCTGGACGGAGAGACGTGCTGGGGAGCGCGGGACCTTCGCCTTCCGCGTCTCCACTCCCGCCCCGGCCGCTCGCCCGGGGCGCTCTCGGGGCGCGCCGGGCATCCCGCAGGGGCGCCGGCTCCTCCGAAAGCCTTCGCCAGGGCTGGGGCGCTCGTCCTGCAGGGGCCGCCGGGCGGGGGCCCTCCCCGGCAGCGAGCACGGGGTCCCCGGGCAGCCCGGCGGCGCCCGCCCAGCCCTTG